TCGAAGATGCCCAAGTACGCGAAGTTCATGAAAGATCTCTGCACCAACAAGAAGAAACTTGGGGATCTCTCGACAGTGCTGCTGAGCGAGGAATGTTCTGCCATCCTGCAGAACAAGCTGCCCGAAAAGCGCAAGGATCCAGGGAGTTTTACTATCCCTCTTACTATTGGCAGCAGCATGCATGTAGGAAAGTCCTTGGCGGACCTAGGAGCTAGCATTAATGTCATGCCATATAAATTGTTCAAAAAGCTAGACCTAGGTGAACTTAGCCCTACTAGGATGAGCATTCAGCTAGCTGATCGTTCGTGGTGCATCCTAGGGGTATCATAGAAGATTTGCTTGTTAATGTGGGTGCATTCACATATCCTGTTGATTTTGTTATTCTGGATATAAATGATGATGTGGATGTGCCTTTGATTCTAGGTAGACCGTTTCTTGCCACCGCCAAGGCACTGATTGATGTGCATGATGGTAAACTGATCTTGCGTGCTGGAAATGAACAGGCTATTTTCCTGTGACTGAGTTTGATCATTGTGCTATGATTTCTGTATCGCCTGTGCATGCTATTTCTGATCAGGTACACGAGCCTGTCGTGTACCCTTCTGCACCTCTCATTTTGCAGGACCCGCCTATCATTCCTCGCCGCCACTCCATCCAGCCTCGCCTTCGAACAAAAAGCTCAAGGAGGAGTGGCGGCCGAAGCCGCAGGTGGCTAAGCCTGCACGGAAGAAGAGTGGAGACCACTATGAGCTGGTCCCACCCCCGCACCACGACCACCCTGGCCATCCGAGTACTCACTCGCCTGCATCTTGCCGGATGGCCAGGTCGAGCTGACTTCTGCTGGTGGTTGCAACCGTCGGGTGCACATCACCTGAAGCTGTACCTCAAGAGCGATGTGGATCCGCTCTTGGAGGCACCTGTTCCTGCACCTCCCTGAGTATCCACCATGGGCGTCCAGCTAAAAGACGGTAAAGAAGCGCTTGTGGGGAGGCAACCCCACCACGGTTTGACTTTCTTTCTTATGTTTCGAGTCGGATTGCGTTTTGGTTTGGTTTTGGTTTGTTTTCTTTGTTCTGGATGATGTCTTATTGGGCTGACATCGGACCTAACATATTCTGGTTGAGCTCTTCTGTTTCCCTTGAGCTGTGCTGTGTTCCCCGCCTGGTCCGTTTCCAGTCTCCTGCAGTCTGTGCATACCGGTAACATCGTTCCCCTTTCCTTTCCTCTTCTCCCTTGAGGACAATGTCGATCTTAAGTGTGGGGGGTGTTTATCTTTTGAATGCATTAGATCTGTTTGTGTGCTTGGAGCCTAGTCCACTGTCCGAATCTTACGATTTGAGGGCTCCAAGTACTGCTGTTTGATCATATTGGCACTGGTTTTTGATGGATGAATTGATTGGTTTCGGAGTAATGCATGACACCTTGTTTGCGACTAGGACAACCTATGATGAGGACTGAGATGTGCAGTTAGAACGATGTAGGGGTTCAGTTTTTCAACTGTTTGCTTGCCAACTGTGACTTGATCTGACTTGATCTGATTACTTGTTCTTGACAGTCGTTTATGCATCTAGTTCAGGGTATCAAAATGTGAGATAGAGCATATAGGTAGCCATGTGAGATTTGAGCCTGCTCGTTTCTTTCTTGTGCGATAGATCCCTCTTCCATGATGTGTAGCATTCACGTTGTCACTAGCTAAAATGACGGGGCATAGGACTTAGCCCACGCCCAAAACTGACTGTCCTGATGTGTCATATCCCTAGTCAACCCCTTTGAGCCGTGTGTTATCCTTTCTTTTGGTCTATAATGGAAAAAATCACCCCTTGTTGCATCTTGTAGAAGGTTCCACAGTGTGGTTTTTATAAATTCTCTGCTGTTTCTGCTTAAGTCTATGTGAGTGTTGGAGGTAGTGCTTAAAAGTTGGGCAGATGTTTGAATTGTGCAGAAGTGGTGGCTCTCTTAAGAAATGAAAAGAAAAATGAAAGAAAAACAAAGAAAAATTGAAAGCAAAAGAGAGTCACTACTAAAAATCTGAATAATGCCCAGTAAGTAGTGTTTCTTAGCAGTCTGGCTTGGAAATACTGATGTTTATGCCTCCTTCGCTCTTGTGCTCTTAAGATATTGAGTAATGCAGAATAGCAGAAAGAAAATACCAGGTTGTTTGACTGTGATTGTGTGTTTGGAAAATGTGGAACCTTTTGCTATGAATACTTCCACCACTTAAAAGGCCTTTTCCCCATGTCCAAGACCCTAGCCAGTCATTTGAACCTGTGTCTAAGACCTCCTGATTAGTTAGTGGTGACACCCCACATGTGAACTCTAGCATTTAGAGGCTGCCATCATGGTGAAGAGATGATAGGTATTGAGAGAAATAGCATGCGCATCTTTCGCATCAAATTGTCCTGACCCCACTGGTCGAGAGTGAGTGATTCATTTTCATTTTCTTTATGCTCTTGTACCCCGGTGAGGACCTAGATTGCTCGGTCTCTATTCTGATGTCTTGAGTTGGATGCATGAGTTGACTGTTTTGAGTAAGTGGTTGAATCAAGTCTAGGTTGGCTAGTAAACAGAAGGGAGACTCTTCCTGTACTCGATTTGCTGCACTCGAATGTCCTTTGTGGTGGTTGTCCAGGTTGTTATTGAGGTTGTGCATGTATTGATGTTTGAAAACCAGTGCGATTCACGTGTTCTGTGCCTGTATGACTTGTCCCCAATGTTGGTTGATTGTGATATGTAAGCCTACCGAGTGTCTGACTTGGTTTGCTTGGGGACAAGCAAACGGTTAAGTGTGGGGGAGTTTGATAGACCGTAGTTACACATGTTTTTACCCCTGCTCTTACTCCGTTTGAGGTGTTGATTCTCGTGTTTTAGGCCGATTTCACGCTAGGTTGTGCTTGGTTGTGTTATTTCAGGTCCTAGTACGTGGATGAAGGCTTAGGAGCGAGTCTGGGGTCGATTGGACGACGAACGGACGAAGGACGAGCTTGTTGGGGAGCCGCACGGCCAGACCATGGAGACGCACGGCCGTGCACTTAGGGATGGCAATGGGTCGGGTTGGGTCGGGTTTTGCCAAACCCAAACCCAAACCCATGGGTTTATCTTTGAAAAAAACCCGGGGTAAAACCCACCGGGTTTGAAAAACTCAAACCCAACCCAACCCGTTGGGTATCCGCGGGTTCATGGGTACCCACGGGTTTTGTCGTAAAAAATTTTACAATTACAAGTTCTTATCAAAATTAAAGTCAAATATCAATCTCTCAATATAAATTATCCATATATAAAAACACCATTCTAGAAAATTCAAGCAAATCACAAATTAACTATACAAATTGTTCAACACCAATCTAGAAAACTCATGAAAATTGAAGCAAATCACAAATTATCCATAAATAACATGTTTAATTGAAAGCTTCTTTCTTTCAATTAAGTTTCTTTAGTCCTCCACTCCATAACATCAACTTCATTCTACACAATTAAAAAGAAAAAATTAGACATGTCTCCACAAACATAAATAAGAATAGTTATTTAGAATACTAAATATACCGAAAAAATTAATTATATTAGTGGGCGGGTACCCACGGGCCGGGTTTACCTAAACCCAAACCCAACCCAACCCGGTGAATAGTGAACGGGTTTAAACCCAAACCCGGCCCAAAACCCGTCAACACGGATTTTACCCGCGTTGACCGGGTTGGGTCGGGTGGGTACCCATGGGTTCGGGTTTTGTTGCCATCCCTACGTGCACTTGCACCATATGGCCTTGCGCCTCATGCCGAGAGCTTGCACGGGCAGAGCAGAGAACCGCACGGCCGTGCAACATACAAACCTGGCCGTGCGGGTTGGTGCGAGAGCTTTCACGGGCACAATCCAGATGTGCACGGCCGTGCGCCTGGCCGTGCAAGGTGGATGAAGGCGATTAAGTGAAACGGCGCGTTTTGAGGGTGCACGGCCAGAATGGTGATGTGCACGGCCGTGCACCCTGGCCGTGCAAGTCGGGGAAACCCGGTTTATAAGCAGATTTCAGCCAAATTGAGGGGGGATTCGAGTTTTAGAGAGACAGAGTGATTCCTAGAGAGAGAAAGCGACGAACAAGAGCCTCCAAGTGCCCTAGATCGATCTTCAACACCATTGGAGCTTGGTTTGAGCTTGGAGAAGTGCCGATTCAACGTCCAGGAGCAGAAATCCATCTTCACAGTATGATTTCCGCGACTGATTCTGCTTTTGCTTCTCTCTCCATGGAGTAGTTCTCCCATTCATCTGGGTGTGGGAAACCCTAGTTCTGTATGTTAGGTTTGATTGTATGAACCCAAGTATTGATTCTATGATTTGATTATATTCGATTGAGGTTTGAATGATTGAATGACTTGAATCCTGATCAAATTCCTGTTGTTTCTGCTTTAACCTAGAATGATAATATCTGCCTAGGTTAATAGAGTATCCTTGATTGAAGGTAGTGAATTGGTGACTTTAGTCGATGAGCCAATCACTATTCTGTACCGAATTCCATTCGATAGTGGAGGTTTTGTTCATAGGGCCTCAATCTGTTTACTCCGGTGTAGGTTAGTCGCCAGCTAGAGACTCAGATTGAGAGGGTCTGAAGACCTTTAGTCGAGACTTCAGACTGATTAAGAACCTTCCGCAGTATAACTTTCATAGAAATCGAACTTGGCAATTACAATCCGGCTTAACTGCAGACTAGGGGGAACCATATCCGGGTGACCTCTCTTAACCTGAATACAACCGTTTTAGTTACTTTGCTTGCTTGTTAGTTTAGAACTTCACTAAAGTTTCATTGCTAGATAATACGAATTCACTGAGTAGTCATCACATCTAGGACCCGGGTTGACATTAAAACCCAAACCCGCTATACTACGCTTTAGGAAGTGGTTACACTTGGCCAATTTCTAGAGTGACAGTAACAGCGAGTCAATCGTCGTACTGTTTTGCTGGTAATAATTCTTGTTTTTGTGGGTCTATCCCTCCTCTCTTTGTTAACCTTTCGAATGATCTCCAAGTCAGCAAAATCAAAGAAAAATCCATCTGCGGAAGATCCAAGATTACCCAATTTCATAAGGGTCTCTTACAGAGACCTTCACAGAGTAACTGGTGGATTCTCCTCAGAGTACTTAATTGGCTCGGGCGGGTTTGGCATGGTCTACAAAGGGAAGCTGGATGAAATCAACCCACCAGTAGCTGTTAAAGTGCTGAAGCTGGAAAACAGGGATGCTTACAAGAGCTTGGCAACAGAACTAAATGCATTGAGAAGCATTAGACATCGGAATCTTGTAGGGGTTATGTCATATTGTTCCAGTTTGGACCACAATGGTGATGAATTCAGAGCTCTAGTCTTCGAATACATGAAGAACGGAAATTTGGATAAGTGGCTGCACCCTATGGACGGCTCCCCCAAACTGAGCCTTGTCCAAAGGCTTGACATTGCAGTAGATGTGGCATCTGCCCTGCATTATCTTCACGACCTCTGTGAAACTCCAATCGCTCACTGTGATTTGAAGCCGAGTAATGTGCTTCTCGACGAAGACATGGTTGCCCATTTGAGCGATTTCGGCATTTCCAGAATTCTTTCAACCAAGGATACAACGTTATCTGGAACAAGCACCATTGGTATCAAAGGAACAGTTGGTTATACTCCTCCAGGTGAACAAAATTCTGAACATTTCCAGTCTTTCGTACATCTATAAGTTCGTGAAAGCATATGTATTTTGGATACTTACTAAATGTGGTTTCACCTCTTCGCAGAGTATGGAATGGGCAGTGCAGCATCGAAAGAAGGTGATGTGTACAGCTTCGGAATTCTACTGCTGGAGTTGTTTTCTGGGAGAAGACCCACGGACCACTTGTTCGGGGAGAGTCCGAATCTTCGAGACTTCATGATAGCAGGGCTGCCCGATACGATATCCAGAGTAGTGGATCCAGTGCTCTTCCTCGGTGGAGACATGACTGAAGCAGTGGAGCAAGATGGAGGCGACGAGATCACAGAAGTGGTAGAACTGCAACACAGAGAGAGTAACTTTAAAGAGGCGACCTTAATGAGGTCTATTCAATACCACGATTGCATAGTTTCACTTGTCGAGATCGGAATAGCTTGTTCTCTGGAAGCAGCGCCAGAACGGTTGAAGATGGCGGATGTTTCTCAGAGGCTAGAGTGCATTAGGGATGCTTTTGTCACAAATAACATTCGGCGTCGACCCAGAGAGCGGCAAGAGAGGTCGTAAATTTGGGCATTCGGGCCTTCACTGATCTAATATGTGAGCAACCAAGCACTGTCGGTGGGGGGGGGGGGGGGGGGGGGGGGGAACAAATATGTATTGTCATAATAAACTAGTACGACTCACTTACAGAAGTTGGAGAATCTAAGCACCTGAGAGGGAAAATTCCAAGCAGCATTTGGAACTGCTAGAGCTTGCAGTATCTCTATTTGCAGAGAAAACTTGTTCAACGGTGCCATCCTTCCATCTATAGCTTCCTTGAAAAGCATTTTATACAACTTGATGGCCAGGTGCCGACTGTAGTATGCTTTGCGGTGGTATATTGAGTCTCCATCTTCCTAAATGCACAACTAAACCTCCCAAGGACGCTATCAATCATTATACAGTTTTGTTGCTAGCAGACATAACATAAAGAAATTGGCAGAATCAAGTATTATCAGGGGTTAGAAGTATAGATTATGAACCAAAGAAGTACCACAATCTCCTTCTCCGGAGAGTATAATCCGAAAACAGGAAAAAGCAGTTACATGTAACAACACGAGCATAAGGCTACAAAAGACACAGAGAGAGTGAGAGCAGTAAACCAAGCAAGTTACTTGTATGAACCTCTAGGAGCTCGTACTTCTAGCTCGGATTTTATGTGAAAATGCAATTTGTTTTGCATCGATCATTCTCACTTGCAATCATCTCCCTATTATTGCTGTAAGAATGAAAGGCATGCTTAGGAGCGATTAAGTTTCGAAAGTGGCAACAGCGAAATGGAACTCCTACTATACGTTGAGTTGCAAGTAAAGTTGACGTTTGCTTCAAGTATATCTGAACTAATCATCTGAAGAGATAATGGCACCAAAAGTTATTTGAGTAATTTCGAGATTTCAAGACCAACTTTCCATACTCAGGAATCAAGACAGTCGGACCAATTTGACTAAGAAGACCAAAGCAGATAGCTTCATACCATAATCAATCACTCAATCAGGATACGGAATTCAACACTCCACATTCGATTATGCAGGAATTGTACAAATTCTGAAACTACATGATCTCTTCATATGCATATGCAAATGGGATTCAGGGGATTACCTCATCAAACACGGGGAAAGCCAGGGGAATTCTTCGTTTAGGTTATTGAGCAAGATGATGACACGCCTGGAGTTTTTAGAAAGAGGGCTAGGGTTCCGGCTCTAGGGCGTCCACTACACAACCAGTCAACCACGCTCCTTCATTTGTAAGCTCTTCTGAAAGCAAAGGCGAAGTGGTTAAGCCCTTCTGAAGTGAAGACACGAAATTGATGGTGGTCAGTAAAGGACTTCGAATTCCACCTTCCCCGATGGTGAAAAAAAAACCAAATTGACGGCGATAGGGCTTCGTTTTCCCCATTATATTATGAACCCTCGAAAGCTTCCGCCTGAGCTTCCATCGATTTCCACTTATCTGAACTCACGGCGGCTAGCCATCAGTCTCGAAGAAGAAGAAGAAGAAGAAGAAGAAGAAGAAAGGGCGGCGCTCGAATTTGAAAGGGGCAGAACTTTACGGTGTGCCCGCCCGCGCCAAACCAAACCCGTGAAACCACTCCATGGAAAAAACTTGCGCAATAACTCCGTTGAACGGAGGGCGAGGGGCGGTAGCTATGGAGTGGTAGGTTTGTTCCGATGCAAATATTTGTACCGTAAGTCACATCCTTTTGACAACCAGGCAAAATTCTGTGACTTGCAAGTTGCAACGTCCCCCCATTCTCCTCTACTTAACCCCCCCTGCCTCCATCCTTCCCTCCTTTCCACCAATCAGTCGTCAGCTCCAGAAGAGACCAAAAGAAGTTTTTTTTTTTAAGTGAGCACGACGATGACTTAGCCATATTCATCTCCAATAATTTACTCTCACCAAACACTTCTATCTCTCTCTCTCTCTTTCTGTCTCTGGGTTGGGAGAAAATGGCTCCGGTGGGAGTTTTGGTGGGAAGCGGAGGGCCGGTGAAGGACTTCGGCGGCAAGATAACGAGCTCCGTTGTGGTCACTTGCGTCGTTGCCGCTTCCAGCGGCCTCATTTTTGGATATGACATTGGGATTTCAGGTAAATTTTGTGCCTTTTGTGAATTCAGTGTTGATTATGTATGTCTGTTCATTGTAATGTGAACGAAACAGAGCAAAATATAAAGAAGTAAAGTTTCTATCTCTTTGCACCAATTGGTTAGGATGTTTAGTGCCCTTTGTATTGTAATAATTCTCAAGAGAAAAGAAAGCAACCATTTTTAATTAATAAATTTACAAAAATTCACTAATATGTTAGCGTAGACTAATTAATCTATGATCTGGACTGTAACTGTGTTCGGTTTAGTTCTGACTCATAAATCATAATGACTAGTATAATTTGTCATTAGCAACGGGGTAAGAAAAAAAAAACTTAATATTGTAACATGCAATGTAACTTGTTACGTTTTTTCCCCACCATATAGCAGAAACGAGCGTTTCTTTACTATGTTTAATCGGACTAAATTTAATTAGATTCTTAGATAGCTCCAATCGACAGTAGTTCTATCTTCTTCTTTTTCCTAGCTAATCAAGTACATAATAAATGCATACAAGCAAAAATAGTTTACCACATGTAGTAGTAGATAGCTAATAATGCAAGTCATGAATGTGTTCACAACCAGAATGCATATTTATGATTTGTTGACATTCGTATTTTAACTAAAATAAACAATTGAATTTAATATTTAACTTTATTCTATAGCAAAAAAAAAAAAATTTAATTTTTCCTTGTGGTGCCGAATTGACAGGTGGCGTCACAACAATGGAGTCATTCCTGAAGAAGTTCTTCCCGTCAGTTTTGCGGAAGGCGGCAGCGGCGGAGACCAACATATACTGTCAATACGACAGCCAACTCCTGACGGCATTCACTTCCTCGCTTTACATTGCAGGATTAGCCGCATCACTTGTAGCCAGCCGCGTCACCGCCGCCCTCGGCCGCAAGAACACGATGGTGCTCGGCGGCCTCACTTTCCTCGCCGGCGGCGCTGTCAATGGCGGGGCGGTCAACGTCGCCATGCTCATCCTGGGCCGCATCTTGCTCGGCATCGGAGTCGGCTTCACTAACCAAGTACGTAACAAAAGATCATATATATACTTTGTCGGAAAAAGGGTTGGTGGCACATAAACAGCCACGTCACCTAACGGTCCTAACTAACGGAATTATTGCGTTATTCACATAATTTTATTGTTATTTTAACAGTAATGAATAATGATTATTCAATGCAACTCATTTTTACAAGAAAAATTGAAAATCAAAATTTTATTTCACCAAATATAACTAATACAAATTATTATAGGAAAAAAAGAGAAAGAATTTTAGAATTCTATTTGCGTGAATAAGCATCGAATTACATGATTAGCAATTTCCCTCTGATTTTAAACAGGCGGCGCCGCTCTACCTGTCGGAGGTGGCACCGGCGAAATGGAGAGGAGCATTCAACACAGGTTTCCAGTTCTTCATCGGCATCGGCGTCGTAGCCGCCAACTTCATAAACTTCTTCCTGTCAAAGCACCCGTGGGGCTGGCGACTCTCCCTGGGCCTCGCCGTCGTCCCCGCCGCCGTCATGACCGCCGGCGCCGCACTCATCTCCGACACGCCCAGCAGCCTGGTGGAGCGCGGCCGGCTGCGGGAGGCCAAGCAGTCCCTGGCCCGAATCCGCGGGGCCAATGCCGACGTGGAGGGCGAGCTGGACGACCTGGTCAAATCCGTCGACGTGGCGAAGGCGGCCAATCAGGAGCCGTTCGTGACGATACTGGAGCGGCGGTACCGGCCGCACCTGGTGATGGCGGTCTTGATCCCGTTCTTCCAGCAGGTGACGGGGATTAATATAATCGCGTTTTACGCCCCCGTTCTGTTTCAGTCGGTCGGGTTCGGGAAGGACTCGGCGCTGATCGGGTCGACGATTTTGGGAGTGGTGAATCTCGGGGCGATTCTGGTTTCCACGGCCGTGGTTGATCGTTATGGCAGGAGGTTCTTGTTCATGGCTGGTGGCCTCCAAATGCTCATTTGCAAGGTAAGTTACATTCATGTATATTTGTTCTGACAAAAAAAAAACCTAAAAAATTCTCTCAATATCATACTTATCGAAATATTTATTTTCAAAACATTAGAGTTTAGCGTGATTTACTCGAGTTTCAAGTGAACTATGTACTGCTTCGCTTGAGTAGAGAGCGAACGAGTGTGGATTGCGACAGACTTAAGCAATTCCTCTTTTTGGAATTGAGAAAGGGTCTATTGGGATAGCATTTTTTGGGGAAAAAAACAGACCTAACTTTCTTTGGTTGTTTGCAGCTTCGAAGATTTATCTTATAACAGAGCGAAAATTAAAATTGTTTGAAGTTTCGAGCTAAGTTAGTGGTAGGTTTGGGATAATTGGTTGGAGAGTGGCTCGCTTCGATCTGCCGAGATTCAAATGGTTCGAGGGTGGTTTGCTTTGTATTTATCACGATCCAGATGGTTCGAGAATGGTTCGCTTAAATCAAACGCGATCCAATTGATTTGAGATTGATTCGCTTCGATATTACGCTATCCGGTGTAGATAGCTTCTATGTCGAGCGTGTTAGTTCATAAATCGCTGAACACTGAAAAAATATTTTTTGTAAGCATGGGAATGGGGGAATTTTTTAAAGTAAATAGACGGAAGTACTTTTTCCAACAAAAAAGAAGTAGTTCATTTTAATTTGCTTGATACTATTTTGGCAGCTAGCGGTGGCTGCCGTGCTGGTCGCCGGGACGGGAGTGTCAGGGACGGAGCACATGAGCAAAGCACTGGCCGTCGCCGTGCTGGTCTTGCTGTGCACCTACGGCGCCGGGTTCGGGTGGTCGTGGGGCCCGCTCAGCTGGCTGATCCCGAGTGAGATCTTCCCGATCAAGATCAGGACGACGGGGCAGAGCATAAGCCTGGCCGTGAATTTCGCCACCACTTTCGTGCTGTCGCAGACTTTCCTGACCATGCTGTGCCATCTCAAGTACGGCGCCTTCCTGTTCTACGCCGGCTGGATTGCCACCATGACGCTCTTCGTCGTGTGTTTCTTGCCGGAGACGAAAGGGATTCCGCTTGACTCGATGCAGGGGATTTGGGAGCAGCACTGGTATTGGCGCCGGTTTGTTGCGACGACGACGACGACGACCTGAGTAGTAGTAATAGTACTGTTTCTGACAACAGAGTGTGTTCTACTAGAGAATGGAATCATTGTATGTATTGAGATACATAATATTGTGTAGCTTTGAGATAGTACTGTCGGCGCTTGTGGTTTATGGAAGATAAATGACACATAATGGTTTCATTTATGTGATTGTATTTGTTTGTTTTCTCTCAAATTGTAAGTTGCTGAAAGGAAATTAATTATGGATCTAATGCTACTTTGTTACTCGTTCCATAAACGAAAGTCATATTTTTATGCTTAATCAACTGTTAATATTGGTGGTCGTGGAGATCTGAATAAATGATCACTTAATCAAATTAATTTTGATATTATATTAAAAATCAATGAAATTCCAATGATTCGACTTGTTGAGAAAATATTAATTACTGATCTATACCACTCTTACGGTTTGTTGTTTGTTTTTGTTGAGCCAGGGCTTGTTTGCACAGATTAAAGTACAGTGAAGGCGTGCGTGAGTTTCCCCAATTTACGACCGGTCCGGCCACTCTCTGGGTCTACGGCGAATGGTACTAGCGGTAAAAGCATCTCTAACGCACTCTAGCCTATGGTAGACGTCCGCCGTCTTCATCCGTTGTGTCGCCAATTCCAGAGAACAAGCTATCCCGATTTCGACGACCGACTTCATGCAATTGAGGTATTGACTCGACCTCATTAAGCTCGCCTCTCTGTAGTTAATCTCTCTGCGTTGCAGTTCGACCAATTCCGTGATTGCTTCACCTCCGCATCTCTCCGCCGCCTCAGTTATGTCTCCACCGGGAAACAGCACTGGATCCAGCACCGCAAATACCGTATCTGGCAGCCCCGCCGTCATATAGTCTCGAAGATTTCGACCGTCATCGAACAATTGGTCGGTGGGTCTTTTCCCGGAGAACAATTCCAGCAGTAGAATTCCGAAGCTGTACACATCGCCTTCTTTCGACGCTGCACTGCCCATTCCGTACTCTGCAAAAAGGTGCAAAGTAAGTATCCTGTATCCAAAGAACAATGGATTATGAAGGAATTTTGCCCACCTGGAGGAGTATACCCAATTGTTCCTTTGATGCCAATGGTGCTTGTTCCCGAGAATGTGGCACCCTCAGCTGAAAGAATCCTGGAAATGCCAAAATCGCTCAAATGGGCAACCATGTCCTCGTCCAGAAGCACATTGCTCGGCTTCAAATCGCAATGCGCGAGTGGAGTTTCGCAGAGGTCGTGGAGATAATGTACTGCAGATGCCACATCGACTGCAATGTTGAGCCTATGACCGAGACTGAGTTTGTGGGAACCGTCCGTGGTGTGCAGCCAGTTCTCCAGATTTCCATTCCTCATGTATTCGAAAACTAGAGCTCTGAATTCATCGCCATTGTGGTCAGTACTGGAACAGTATGACATAACCCCGACGAGGTTCCGGTGCCTGATGCTTCTCAATGCATTCAGTTCTGCCGCCAAGCTCTTGTAAGCCTTCCTGTTTTCCAGCTTCAGCACTTTCACAGCTACTGGTGGGTCGATTCCATCCAATTTCCCTTTGTAGACAAGGCCGAAGCTGCCAGACCCAATCAAAAACTCTGAAGAGAATCCACCAGTTGCTCTGTGAAGGTCTCTGTAAGAGACCCTTACAAAATTGGGTAGTGTTGGACCTTCCACAAGTGTCTTCTTCTTTGATCTTGATGAGTTTGTGATAATTCGGAAGGTTAATAGCGACAGAAGGGATAGACCTACAAAAACAAGAACTACCAACATAACTGTACGGCGATTGATGGCCTTTGTGGAAGGTTTAGCCGTGCACTTGGGAAGATGGAGGTTGAGCACACCACCGCAAAGCATATTGTTCCCCATTAATGATATGCTACTTGCGTTTGAAAAGATTCCTTCCGTTGGCACCTGGCCGTCAAGGTGATTGAAAGAGAGATTCAGATACTGTAAGAGGTTACTATTTTGAAGAGCCGACGGGATTTCTCCTTGCAAGTTGTTGAGTGAAAGATCGGCTTTTCGAAGGCTTTTCAAGAAAGCTAAAGATGGAGGGATGGCACCGGCTAACGAGTTCCTCTGTAAATAGAGATACTCTAAGCTCTTGCAATCACCAATGGCGCTTGGAATTTTGCCTGTCAGGAAATTATGAGAAATATCCAAAGCATTGAGATTCTCCAGCATCCCTATTTCTGGAGTCAGGTTCCCTGTGAATAAGTTGTGTGACAAGTTCAGTAATTTTGTCAAGGATGGAAGACTGAAAATCTTGCCAGGTATAGACCCAGTGAGAGTATTTCCTGAAATATCCAAGGAAATCAACTGAAGCAATGAACCAAGACCCAAAGGAATAGCGGCTTCGAATCTGTTATTCGAGATGTTGAGTTCAGTCAACTGAGTAAGGTTGCCAATGGAGGGAAGAATTGGACCAGATAGCTGATTTCCTTCTAAATGCAAGCTTTGCAAATAGGGAAACCTGCTAAAGAAAGGAGGAATGGAACCTCCAAAGAGGTTGTATGACAGATATAGGGCATTCAAGTTAACCAGCTTCTCAAGTCCAGCAGGAACCGATCCTATTAGTTTATTTTCTGAAACGTCAAGTATGGCAAGCTGGGCGGAGAGGTTTGCTATGGTGCTAGGTAGAGTGCCTCCAAAGTTGTTAGCAGTGATGGACAAAAGTTGAAGCTGACTGCAATTTTGCAACCCTTTCAAGAACTCGAAGTCGTCAGGGGAATAATTGCCGAGATGATTTATCCCAGCTGACAGCCAGAATAGATCTGGCAGATTCCCTATGCAATCGGGAATTTGACCGACGAAATCATTTTTGTTCATGTCCACGAGCTGCAGCTCTGTGGCGTTGCACAATGATTTTGGGATGGAACCGGCAAATTTGTTCTTTGAGATAGCAAACTTCTGGAGTTTCGGTAAAGTGAAGCCTATATCATCCGGTAGACGACCCTCAAACTGGTTCCAAGGGAGGGCAATGATGCTAAGAGTGGTGATGTTGAAGAACGATCGAGGAATGGTACCGATCATTTGGTTTTTCCCAAGAGAAATCGAGTACAAGTTCTCCAGAGCACCCAGGCTCTCTGGGATACGCCCCACCAGGTTGAGATAAGCAGCTCCGAAGTCAATCAGCTTCGTCAGGTTCCCCACCGATTGGGGAATCTCTCCTGTCAGGTTGTTTGTTCCAACCCTCATGACTCGGAGCTTTGACAAAGACCCAATCTCCAGAGGGATCCGCCCTTGCAGATTATTCAATCCCAGCCTCATGATACGGAGCTCATAACAGCGTGTCAGGTTGTCAGGAATTTCCCCAACGAAAGAGTTGGACGAGAAGTTGATTTCTCGAAGCTGAAGTAGGTTCCCTATCTCCTGAGGAATCTCCCCGTGGAAGGTGTTGTTTTCCAGGTTGATGGCCTGGAGGAAGCTGAGGTTCCCAATGTGCGGAGGCAGAGTGCCCACCAGGTCCTGTTTCTTCAGCACCAGAGATGTGACTCTCTGCGAGCCATCATCACCATGTCTGCCGCAGGAAATGCCCACCCAGCTGCAGAAATGGACTGAATCGTTCCAGGATCGGAAAACCCCATGTGGATCGCTGGTTATGCCGTTCCTGAACTCGAGCAGCGCGAGCCTGTCGGTCTGGTTGTTGGTTGAAGCAGCAGCTGTGACTGCTTGCTGTGGGTCTCTGAGTGCAGAGAGATGAAAGAGGTTGATAACCATAACTAGATTGGAGATCATAGAAAGTGGTTTACAAGTTCTGAACGACATTCTTGTTGATCTTGGAAGAAGGATTGTTTGATGTTTGACGGCAGGACATCAAAGCCTTGTGCCGTTTATATAGCCGTGAGGTTTACAGGAGCTACAGTTCTTGGCTGCTGTTCCCGCCTTAATAAAATGTGTGTAAGTCCCATTCCATTCCATATCAATCAGAAGTCAGTACTGGAGATAAGGCCAATTGGAATATTTTATAACAACTTTGTGTAGTAAGCTCTCGTATTCAACTCTTCAACAGTTAAAATTTTCTGAACTTCTAATTTTTGTCTCCTGCTTGACTTAGTCCCTTGAGTTGCAATCCGCCATTTCTTGTTATGTTTGCCCCTTCAGATTTTTACAAGTTACAACTCAATTTGGGAATGAGTCAAGGAGAGAGGACTTTGACTTTCTCATGGCTCATGGCTGCAATCCGCCAAGGGCAGTTTCTCTTCCTGATTTATTTTATGGGTGCAAATGATGGTTGATGGATGAATGATCTTCGCACACGTGATTAACATAATGAAATATAGATCAGAAAGGGATTTAGGAGAAGTGGGAGATTGGATTAAGAACATTAGAGATTTGAGAGATGAATAAAAATTTACGCACATAAAATTCGAGTTGGTGAGGAGGCTAACTCCTTGTAAATTGCAAGTTTGGTCACTTGCCACTAAAATTAATTTATTCCATTCGCAGTCACTCAAATTAGTTTAACGGTTCAAATTTGGGTACTCTCCGTTAACTTTATGTGACGTGGCAGGTGGCCGTTAAATAAATGACATATCAATTAAAAAATTAAAAAATAATAATATTTAATCTTTTCATTATTCCACCTCATTATCCCAACCCATACAAAAATAAAATAAAAATTAAACTAAATTTATTTTTAGCCATCGTCACCATTGCAACTAACATGCTGTGTCGGTGGGAGTAGTGTAGCTGGGGAACGCCAGTTTGTCGGAGCCCCGAGGCAACCACATGAAGTATTCCAAGTTCGCCGTCCAACAGTCCGCTTCTACTTCGACAGTGAAGCCATCGCCAACCTGGTACTCCCTTCCTAGCATAACCGGGATGCTTGCAGCGACGGCGAGGGTCGTCGCCGCCGCCGCCGAGTCTGTATGAGAGCGATTCAGTTGCAACGGTGACAAGGGCTAAAAGTAGAGTAGTTTTATTTTTGTATGGGTTGGGATAAGGAGGTGGAAAAAATGAAAAAATAAATATATATTTTTTTTAAGTGCTACGCCATTTATTTAACGGTCAATTCTTAGAGTCGACTGTCACGTTAGATAAAGTTAACGGAGACTAACGGAGAGTGACCAAACTTGAACAGTTGAACTAATTTGAGTGACTGCGAATGGAATAAATTAATTTTAGTGACAAACATAAACTTTTTAAGTAATTTCAGTAACCAAACTTATAAGATACCCTTATCAACTATTATATTTTATAAATTTATTACAAAATTTGTATGTAATTTTAAGGGAAGAATTGCCGTGTATTAAGGTAGCTCTTCATTACTGCTAATCATTACCACATGTATAAAATAAACTCCTGATAATTAATTTCTCAAATTCTCGTTTTGTTGCACACATTTTTTTTTTATAATCGTTTTGTTGCACACAAGGTTGTCAACCCGCGGGTTGACCCGGACCCGGTCGAGCTAGTGGGTCAAGGGTTAATGGGTCAACCGTTTTAGCCCGGTTTGGCCCGGAAATATGGAAAGAGTCATTATATTGTACTTATCATCATAAATTATATAAAAACTTATTCAACATATGAGTTATAACATATAATAGTACACCAAAATAACATATCGTACTTAGATCCAACATATATTGAAAATTCACACACACTTATATAACATAAATATTCAAATGTTCAACTTAGGATTTTAAAGATTGAGTTAGGCGAAAAGAAAAATCGGAAAATAGGCGCATTTCGCAAAACTAAAGAAAAAAGACACAATTTGATCTCCAACCCGGTATCTTATAGTGGTCGGCCCAGCAGATGCGTGCGGCCCGTTTTTCTCACCGAGTCAGGGTCAAACTGGGTCGACCCGCGGGTCATTTGGTTGCACACATTAAAGTTGGGTGATGGCGTGAGTTTCCCCAATTTACGACCGGTTCGGCCACTCTCTGGGTCGACGGCGAATGGTATTTGCGGTAAAAGCATCTCTAATGCACTCTAGCCTGCGGTAGACGTCCGCCGTCTTCATCCGTTGCGTCGCCGATTCCAGAGAACAAGCTATCCCGATTTCGACGACCGACTTCATGCAATTGAGGTATTGACTCGACCTCATTAAGCTCGCCTCTCTGAAATTACTCTCCCTGCGTTGCAGTTCGACCACTTCCGTGATTTCATCACCTCCGCCTATCTCCGCAGCCTCGGTTATGTCTCCACCGGGGAAGAGCAGTGGATCCATTACCTCGGTTACCATATCTGGCATCCCCGCCATCATATAGTCTCGAAGATTTCGACCGTCTTCGAACAACTGGTCGGTGGGTCTTTTCCCGGAGAACAATTCCAGCAGTAGAATTCCGAAGCTGTACACATCACCTTCTTTCGACGCTGCACTGCTCATTCCATACTCTGCAAAAAGGTGCAACCACATATTTAGTAAGTATCCAAAGAACAATTGATTATGTAGACATACGTGTTGAAAGAATTTTGCCCACCTGGAGGAGTGTACCCAACTGTTCCTTTGATACCAATGGTGCTTGTTCCTGACAATGTGGCACCCTCAGCTGAAAGAATCCTGGAAATGCCGAAATCGCTCAAATGGGCAACCATGTCTTCGTCGAGAAGCACATTGCTCGGCTTCAAATCACAGTGCGCGAGTGGAGTTTCGCAGAGGTCATGGAGATAATGTAGTGCAGATGCCACATCGACTGCAATGTTGAGCCTTTGACCGAGACTGAGTTTGTGGGAACCGTCCGTGGTGTGCAGCCAGTTCTCCAGATTTCCATTCCTCATGTATTCGAAAACTAGAGCTCTGAATTCATCGCCATTGTGGTCAGTACTGGAACAGTATGACATAACCCCGACGAGGTTCCGGTGCCTGATGCTTCTCAATGCATTCAATTCTGCCGCCAAGCTCTTGTAAGCCTTCCTGTTTTCCAGCTTCAGCACTTTCACAGCTACTGGTGGGTCGATTCCATCCAATTTCCCTTTGTAGACAAGGCCGAAGCTGCCAGACCCAATCAAAAACTCTGAAGAGAATCCACCAGTTGCTCTGTGAAGGTCTCTGTAAGAGACCCTTACAAAATTGGGTAGTCTTGGACCTTCAACAAGTGTCTTCTTCTTTGATCTTGTTAAGTTTGTGATAATTCGAAAAGTTAATAGAGACAGAAGGGATAGACCTACAAAAACAAGAACTACCGACAAAACTGTACGGCGATTGATAGCCTTTGTGGAAGGTTTAGCTTTGCACTTGGGAAGATGGAGATCGAGCACACCACCGCAAAGCATATTGTTCCCCATTAATGATATGCTACTTGGGTTTGAAAAAATTCCTTCTGTTGGCACCTGGCCATCAAGGTGATTGAAAGAGAGATTCAGATACTGCAAGAGGTTACTAGTTTGAAGAGCCGACGGGATTTCTCCTTGGAAGTTGTTGAGTGAAAGATCGGCCTGCTGAAGGCCTTTCAAGAAAGCTAAAGATGGAGGGATGGCACCGGCTAACGAGTTCCTCTGCAAATAGAGATACTCTAAGCTCTTGCAATCACCAATCGCATTTGGAATTTTGCCTGTCAGGAAATTATGAGAAATATCCAAAGCATTGAGATTCTCCAGCATCCCTATTTCTGGAGTCAGGTTCCCTGTGAATAAGTTGTGTGACAGGTTCAGTAATTTTGTCAAGGACGGAAGACTGAAAATCTTGCCAGGTATAGATCCAGTGAGAGTATTTCCTGAAATGTCCAAGGAAATCAACTGGAGCAATGAACCAAGTCCCAAAGGAATAGTGCCTTCGAATCTGTTATTCGAGATGTTGAGTTCAGTCAACTGAGTAAGGTTGCCAATGGAGGGAAGAATTGGACCTGATAACTGATTTCCTTCTAAGTGCAAGCTTTGCAAACTCGGAAACCTGCTGAAGTACGAGGGAATGGAACCTCCAAAGAGGTTATATGACAGATCTATGTAATTCAAGTTGACCAACTTCTGAAGTCCAGCAGGAACAAATCCTACTAGTTGATTAATGGAAACGTCAAGTATGGCAAGCTGGGCTGAGAGGTTAGCTATGGTGCTAGGTAAAGTACCTCCAAAGTTGTTAGTAGTAATGACAAAACGTTGAAGCTGGCTACAGTTTTGCAACCCTCTCAAGAACTCAAAGTCGTCAGAGGAATAACTGCCAAGATGATTATTCCCAGTTGATAGCCAGTATAGATCTGGCAGATTCCCTACACAATCGGGAATTTGACCCACGAAACCATTTCTGTTCATGTCCACTAGCTGCAGCTCTGTGGCGTTACACAATGATTTAGGGATGGAACCGACAAATTTGTTCTTTGAGACAGCAAACTTCTGGAGTTTCGGTAAAGTGAAGCCTATATCATCGGGTAGCCGACCCTCAAACTGGTTCCAAGGGAGGGCAATGATGCTGAGAGTGGTGCTGTTGAAGAACGATCTAGGTATGTTACCAATCATTTGGTTCATCCCAAGAGAAATCGAGTGCAAGCTGTCCAGACCACCCAAGTTCTCCGGGATGCGGCCCACCAAGTTGAGATAAGCAGCTCCGAAGTCAATCAGCTTCGTCAGGTTCCCCACCGAATGGGGAATCTCTCCTGTTAGGTTGTTGGTTCCTACCCTCATGACTCGGAGCTTTGACAAAGACCCAATCTCCCGAGGAATCCGCCCTTGTAGATGATTCGTTCCCAGCCTCACGATACGGAGCTCATAACAGCGAGTCAGGTTGTCAGGAATTTGACCAATGAAGGAGTTGGACGTTAGGTTGATTTCTCGAAGCTGAAGTAGGTTCCCTATTTCCTGAGGAATCTCCCCGTGGAAGGTGTTGTTTTCCAGGTTGATGGCCTGGAGGAAGCTGAGGTTCCCAATGTGCGGAGGCAGAGTGCCCACCAGGTTCTGTTCCTCCAGCATCAGAGATGTGACTCTCTGGGAGCCGTCATCACCATGTCTGCCGCAGGAAATGCCCACCCAGCTGCAGAAATGGACTGAATCATTCCAGTACCGGAGAACTCCTTGTGGGTCGCTGGTTATGCCGTTCCTGAACTCGAGCAACGCGAGCCTGTCGGTCTGGTTGTTGGTTGAAGCCGCAGCACTGGATGCTTGCTGCAGGTCTCTGACTGCAGAGAGATGAAAGAGGCTGATAACCATAACTAGATTGGAGATCGTAGTAAGTGATTTACAAGTTCTTAACGACATCCTTGTTGATCTTGGAAGAAGGATTGTTTGATGTTTGACGGCAGGACATCAAAGCCTTATGCGGTTTATATAGCCATGAGATTTACAGCAGCTACAGTTCTTGGCTGCCGTTGCGTCAGTAATAAAATGGGGAAGTCATTACTGGAAATAAAGACCAACTGGAATAGTTTATGTAGTAAACTCTCGTATTCAACTCTTCACTTTAAAATACTTTCCCTAAAATTCCTGAACTTTTGATTTTAGTCTCCTGCTTTACTTAGTCCCATGGGCTGCAATCAGCCATTATCTTTTTATGTTTGCCACTTCAGCTTTACAAGTCGCAACTCAATCTGGGAATAAGCCGAGTAGAGAGGACTTTGACTTTCCCATGGCTGCAATCCGCCATGGGCAGTTTCTCCTCCTGCATTGTTTTTTATTTGTGCAAATGATGGACGAATGGATCTTGGCATACGTGATTAACGGTAAAGGTTTTTTTTTTTTTGGTATCCTTTGATTGTTTTCTCTTTATATTGAAAAGAAAAAGAATAAAAGAAACGCATAACATCAATTTACACCTTGCCTATCCAAACATTAACAGGAGCAGTTCAGACTTCAGAGTAGTATCGCCGTCCGCCTTCGAGTTCTGAACAATTCCCTGCGGTGGTTAGAATGCCTTGGTGGCCGGCCGTCCACCCGCCTTTTCTGGTCAGACAGAGGTTGCTAGAAAGGTACTTCTGATAGTGTGGAGCTTTCTGGTAACTTCCGCCATTTTCATCCGTTCTTTCGGCGCATCAGCTGAGCACTTCACTCCCAGTTCAAGCAAGGAAATCAAACACTCTTCCACCTTCTTGTCAATTCCGTAAGTTTTTCCAGATACCAGCATTGATGAATCTATTAGCATTGAAAGTTTGGATGGCAATGCGGCCTTGCAAGAGTCGCGTATATTCACACCATCCTTGAACATTTCGTCCGTTGGTCTTTTCCCAGATAGGATTTCCAGCAGAAGGATTCCGTAGCTGTACACGTCCCCTTCCTTCGATGCCGTGGAGCCCGTCCCATATTCTGCAAACCAGGTTAGGGAATTTCTGTCACTGTGCTGAAATAATGAGGTTTGAATGCCGTGGTAGGGTTTCTTTTCTGGAGGCAAATTTGTGGGGAATCATGTTTTTTCCTTACCTGGTGCCGCATAGCCTACCATCCCGCTTAGTCCAATTGTGCTTGCTGTGTTTGTTTGACATGGTGATGAGAGGATTCTCCCTAGACCCAAATCACTCACATGAGCTACCATGTCATGGTCTAGGAGCACGTTGCTTGGCTTTAAACTGCAATGAACGATTGACATTCCGCTAAGATCGTGAAGATAGTACAATGCGGCTGCCACATCTCTAGCAATGTTGAGTCTTTGGAGAAGACTGAGATGGTGATATGTCGTCTTGGTGCCATCATTACTGCAATGCAGCCATTTGTCGAGGCTCCCATTGTCCACAAATTCATAAACTAGAGCTCCAAATGCGTTGCCTCGGTTGTCTGTGCTAGAGCAGTAAGATAGAATCTTCACGAGATTTCGATGCCGGATATTTCGCATTATCTTGCATTCCACCACTAATCTCTTATATGCTTTCTTTTGTTGCAGGTTGAATACTTTGATGGCTACTGGTGCTCTCATTTGCTCCAGTTTTCCTTTGTAGACTGTGCTGATACCACCAGACCCGATTAAAGTTTCAAGACTGTATCCATTGGTTGCCTCATGAATGGCTGTGTAGGAAAGCTTCACAAAGTCGTCCACCAGTAGATCTTCTCCTCGATGGATATGCTTGTTAGATCTTCTCGTCTTGCCACTTAGTAGAAGGCCTATCATTACCAGTACAAGTGCAGATAGAGATGTACTAACAGTGATGACTGTTAACTTCAACTTTGGAGGCCTTCTATTCTTGGTGGTTTTATTTGGGCATTTAGGCAAATGGAACTCTGGAGTACCACCACAAAGCATGGGATTGCCCGACAATGACACAATGCATGCATGGGCAATAGCCCCCTTAGATGGCACTTCACCTCTCAGATTGTTGAAAGAAAGATTCAAAGACTGTAGGCGGATTTGTAGGAGACCTTCTGGGATTTCTCCCTCTAAGTTGTTTCGTGAAAGATCCAATTCCTGAAGCCCTTTCAGAGACGACAAAGCTGGAGGAATAACCGCGTCGAAAGAATTCCCCTGCATATAAAGGTATTCCAGACTTGAGCAACTGCCGATGGTGCTAGGAATTTCCCCTTTCAACTGATTATTAGAGATATCTAACTTATTCACATTTTTCAACTTCCCAATTTCTGCAGGCAGGTTGCCTGTGAGCAAGTTGTTTGACAGGTTCAACAATATGGACAATGAAGAAAGGCTCATTAACTCTCCAGGTATAGCTCCCATGATTCTATTTTCTGAAATATCCAAGGTGCTCAATTGAAGACAATTCCCAATACTTGGTGGAATGTTGCCTTGCAGTTTGTTCTGTGATATATGCAGTTCAGACAACCGACTGAGATTGCCTATAGAGGATGGAATCTGACCTAAGAATTGATTACCATTCAATGACAGTCTCTGCAGATTAGAAATCTGGCCAATATTAGGGATGATGCTTGTCAAGTAGTTATAGGAAAGCTCCAGATCCGCCAGGTTGAAGAGATTCACCAACCCTGCAGGGATAACTCCAGTGACTTGATTGTCCCCAATATACAGTGCGGTGAGCATGGTTGACAGATTCCCCAGAAATTCTGGTAATGGGCCGCCAAAATTATTACTGCTAATACCCACTCGCTTCAGTTGACTGCAATTGCTCAATGACTCTAGAAATGCAAAGTCACCCGTTGAATTGCTTCCAAGATTATTTTTAGCCATGTCTAGCGTAGTAAGACCAGTAAGCTTCCCGAGACAAGTAGGAACCTTCCCTACAAAGTCGTTTCGGTTCATATTCACCAGTTTTAGCCGAGAGACATTGCAGATTGAGTCAGGGATGGTTGCGAAGAATTCATTTCTGGAAATAGCGAATTGTTGCAGGTTGGGCATGGTGTGGTCCATGCTCTCCGGCAAGCGACCACGCAAATGGTTCCACGCAATTGCAAAGCTTTTGATTGATGAAATATTAAACAAGGACAGGGGGACTGAACCAAAGAGCTGATTGCATCCAAGATTAATTGAAGCTAACCTTGATAGCAGGCCGAAGCTTTCTGGAATGGTTCCGGTCAAGTTGTTATATGTAGCACCAAAGTTGACGAGCAACGAGAGGTTCCCCAAGGAAGGCGGGAGCCATCCTGTTAGGTTGTTGTTTCCAACTCTGAGGAACTCAAGCTTTGATAACGAACCAATCTCTGCCGGGATGCTCCCCCATAAGTTATTCGCTTCCAACAACAAGTACTTCAGCTGGCTGCAACGAGTCAGGTTGGTTGGAATCTCGCCTTCAAATGAGTTGAATCTGAGGTCGAGGCACTGGAGTTGAAGCAAGTTTCCAAGTGTTTGTGGAATCTCACCACGAAAACTGTTCTCCGTGAGGTTGATGTATCTAAGAGAAGTAAGGTTGGCGACGTGCGGAGACAGAGTACCCACCAGATTTTGGCCATGGAGATCAAGCGACGTGACTCGCTGGCTAGGAAGCAGATCACACGCAACACCAAACCAATTGCAGAAATGGTCGGAATCGTTCCAAGATTTCAGAGCTCCATCTGGATCACTGCTGATCCTATTTTTGAACTCCAGCAGAGCAAGTCGGTCTGTCTCATTGTTGTTGCCTGAACCATTTGTTTGCAGTGAGGAGTTCAGGAGCAGGAACACGACTATGAAGCCGTCAAGTAACAAGGGAATGGTAGGAAGCTTCCAAATTCTCATTTGAGATTATGAGAACCAGCTACCACAGGTAACACATAATCTTTTCGAGGCTTTGCTGCTTTCAGAATTAATGTGTGAATGAAAATAATATTTGTAGCCTTATTCCCAGAGCGGGCGGCAACAATATTCCACTTCCAAAACAGGCTCGCTCATCACTCTTTGTTACAAACTTACAATGTTGGGTGGCCGGCAAAGAAGCGGATGATGAGAAATTGGCAATGATGAGAAATAAGGACAGCAGAACGAGGAACCTATGAGATGATAATTTTATGTGTTTGAAATATTCCATTTACGACACTTGGCGTGGAATCTTGAACCGAGAGAGATAAAAATTATGGTAATGTTTATTTTTTATTCAAATTTTTTTCAGATTCTTTTATATTATTCAAACTTATTAAAATGTTATTGATTAACTAAATCTTTCGTAATCTATCAAAATATTAGCCATTTTTACGTTATAGTTAATAATTTTATAACTTTTTCTTAGTGAAAATACCAAAATGTTGGAAGGTTAATCTTCATGTGTCTCTTCCAAGTCAGTATCATGTTGCCAAGTCAATATTATTGTCAATATTACTAACAAAATTGCTAACTAAGTTAACATTTGGATAATTCTTAGTATTTCGATAGGTTTGCCTAATAAAAAAGAATCCGAAAAAGGTTTGGATAAAAAATAGACATTACCCTAAAAATTACAAACAAATATTTTTTAATAGGTTTGTTAGTCAAAGGACGGAAAATGGACGAATGCACTATTTTAGGACAATAATGCTCTATTCTAACTTAAGTGGTATAACTCTCCCAATTATGGCAGTTAATATTGGAGGTCATGAGGACTTGAACACATGACCTTAAAGGCAAACCAACTCTAATATAATGTCATAACAAATTGGTCCCAATAACTCGAGTTATTGGGAGAGGTTAATGTATGTTACTTAACCACTTCCTTACACAAAAGGAGGAAAAAAGGCTAGAGTTTCCCACATGAGCCATCTTAGTTTGATGCATTTTTCTTATACATTTATCAAATTCATAGAAATAAAAAAAATATATATTATAATATACGATATCAATATCAATTTAGTTCGATATGATTCCATCCTTAACCAAATAATTGTACACCCCTATTTCTTCCGCAAACTTTACATAATCCCACTATTTACCCGGAGAAACATAATAAAGGCAAAGAAAAAACATCACTCTACATCTGCCTATCGACCACAGTAAACAGAAACCGTTCAGATTATCATCGGTGTCCGCATTCGAGTTCTACAAACAATTCCCTGCGCTGGTTAACATGCTTCGACGCCCAGCCGTCCACCCGCCTTCTCTGGGCATTCAAAGTTTGCTAGAAAGGTACCTCTGATAGTGTGGAGCTTCCTGGTAACTTCCGCCATTTTCATCCTTTCGCTCGGCGATTCAGCTGAGCACTTCACTCCCAGTTCAAGCAAGGAAATCAAACACTCTTCCACCTTCTTGTCAATTCCCTCAGTGTTTCCAGGTATCAGCATTGATGGATCTATCAACATTATAAGGTTGGATGGCCAAGCGGCCTTGACAGAGTCGCGTATATTCATACCCTCCTTGAACATTTCGTCTGTTGGTCTTTTCCCTGATAGGATTTCCAGCAGCAGGATTCCATAGCTGTACACATCCCCTGCCTTCGATGCGGCTGAGGCCGTCCCGTATTCTGCAAACCAGGTTAGGGATTTCTGTCAGTCTTGTCAGTTTTGGATGGCGCTGCGTGGTAGGTTTTTTCTTAGATGCAAATTTGTGTAGAATCAAGTTTTTTCCTTACCTGGTGCCGCATAGCCTACCATCCCGTTTAGCCCAATTGTGCTTGTTGTGTTTGTTTGAGATGGTGAGAGGATTCTCGCTAGAGCAAAATCACTCACATGAGCTACCATGTCATGGTCTAGGAGCACGTTGCTCGGCTTCAAACTGCAATGAACGATTGACGTTCCGCTAAGATCATGAAGATAGTGCATTGCAGATGCCACATCTATTGCTATATTGAGTCTTTGGAGAAGACTGAGATGGTGTGGTGTCTTGATGTTATCATTACTGCAATGCAGCCACTTATCGAGGCTCCCATTGTCCACAAACTCATAAACTAGAGCTCCAAATGCGTTTCCTTGATCGTCTGTGCTAGAACAGTACGATAGGATCTTCACGAGGTTTCGATGCCGGACATATCGCATTATCTTGCATTCCACCACTAATCTCTTATATGCTTCCTTTTGCTGCAGGTTGATTACTTTAATAGCTATCGGCGCTTTCATTTGCTCCAGTTTACCTTTGTATACCGTGCCAATACCACCAGACCCGATCAAAGTTTCATGGCTGTATCCATTGGTTGCATTATGGATGTCTGTGTATGAAATCTTCACAAAGTCGTCCACCAATGGATCTTCTCCTTGATGGATATGCTTGTTTGATCTTCTCATCTTGCAATTTAGTACAAGGCCTACTGTTACCGCCAAAAGTGCAGATAGAGATGTACTAGCAATGGTGACTATTAGCTTCAACTTTTGCAGCCTTCTATTCTTGGTGGTCTTATTAGGGCATTTAGGCAAATTGAACTCTGGAGCACCACCACAAAGCATGGGATTGCCCGCCAATGATACAGAGCTTGCATTGGGAATGATCCCCATTGATGGCACTTCACCTCTCAGATTGTTGAAAGAAAGATTCAAAGACTGTAGGCGGATTTGCAATAGATCTTCTGGGATTTCTCCCTCTAAGTTGTTCCGTGAAAGATCCAATTCCTGAAGCGCTTTCAGAAAAGATAAAGCTGGAGGAATAACCGAGTCGAACGAATTCCCCTGCATATAAAGGTATTCTAGACTTGAGCAACTCGCAATGGTGCTAGGAATGTTCCCTCTCAAATGATTGTTAGAGATATCCAACTTATTCACATTTTCCAATTTTCCAATTTCTACAGGCACGTTGCTTGTTAGCAAGTTGTTTGACATGTTCAACAATATGGACAATGAAGATAGGCTCATTAACTCTGGAGGTATAGCTCCCATGATTCTGTTTTCTGAAATATCCAAGGTATTCAATCGAAGACAGTTCCCAATACTGGGTGGAATGTTGCCTTGGAGTTTGTTCTGTGATATATACAGTTCAGACAACCGACTGAGATTGCCTATAGAGGATGGAATCTGACCTGAAAGTTGATTTCCACTTAATGATAGTCTGTGCAGATTAGAAAACTGACCAATATAAGGAGGGATGGTGCCTGTCATGTAGTTACTGGAAAGCTCCAGATCCGTCAAGTTGAAGAGATTCACCAACTCTGCAGGGATAACTCCAGTTACTTGATTGGCCCCAACATACAGACCGGTGAGCGTGGTTGACAGGTTCCCCAGAAATCCTGGTAACGGGCCACCAAACTTGTTGCTGCTAATACCCACCCGCCGCAGCTGACTGCAATTGCTCAATGACTCCAGAAATGCAAAGTCACCCGTTGAATTGCTTCCAAGACTATTTTCAGCAATGTCTAGCGAAGTAAGACCTCTAAGTTTCCCAAGACAAGTAGGAACCTTCCCTACAAAGTCATTTCGGTTCATGTTCACCTTCTGTAGCCGAGAGACATTACAGATTGAATCAGGGATAGTTGCGAAGAATTCATTTTTGGAAATTGCGAAATTTACGAGATTGGGCATGGTGAGGTCCATGTCCACTGGCAATCGACCACGCAAGTGGTTCCAAGGAATTGCAATGTTTTTGATGGATGAGATATTAAAGAATGATAGAGGGACTGAACCAGATAGCTGATTGCTTCCAAGAGTAATTGAAGTTAACCTTGATAGCATGCCTATGCTTTCTGGAATGCTTCCTGTCAAGTTATTATATGCAGCACCGAAGTTAAGGAGCAACGAGAGGTTCCCCAAGGAAGGCGGGAGCCATCCTGTTAGATTGTTGGTTCCAACTCTGATAAACTCAAGCTTTGATAATGAACCAATCTCCATCAGGATGCTCCCCCTAAAGTTATTCCCTTCCATCAACAAGTACTTCAGCCGGGAGCAACGAGTCAGGTTGGTTGGAATCTCGCCTTCAAACGAGTTGCCGCTGAGATTGAGGTGCTGGAGTTGAAGCAAGTTTCCAATTAGTTGTGGAATCTCACCATGAAAACTGTTGGCCATGAGGTTGATGTATCTAAGAGAAGTGAGATTTGTGACGTGTGGAGACAGCGTACCCACCAGATTTTGGCCATGTAGATCAAGGGACATTACTCGCTGGCTAATAAGCGGATCACATGCAACACCAAACCAGTTGCAGAAATGGTCGGAATCATTCCATGATTTCAGGGCTCCATCTGGATCACTGCTGATCTTTCTTTTGAATGCCAGCAGTGCAAGTCGATCCGTCTCATTGTTGCCTGAACCATTTGCTTGCAGTGTGGAGTTCAGGAGCAGGAACATGACTATGAAGCTGCTAAGTAGGAAGGGAGTGGTAGGAAGCTTGGAAATTCTCATTTGAGATTATGAGAACCAGCCAGCCTACTGCGACGAGGCAGAGATTAGCTACCACAGGTAACACAATCTTTTCGAGCTTTGGTGCTTTCAAAATTTACGTGGAAGTGAAAATCATATTTGAAGCCCAGCGCGGGCGGCAAAGATATTCCACTTCCAAACCACGCTCGTTCATCACTCTTTGTTACAATGTTGGGTGGCCGGCAATGATGACTGATGAGAAATGAGAAGGACAGCTGAACGAGGAAACCATAGTTGATAATTATGGGTATGGAATGTTTCATTTGGCTGTGCTTGGTGTGGAATCTTTACCTGCCTATCTGAGATGGTTTAGTGTTACGTGATATGTCGTAGTTGATTAAATAAAATAAGAAGGAATTGCTATGACTGAATGCAAGAACCAATTAAATTTTTTGCGAGGTTACAGCTCTTCTCAACTCTCAAAATCATGTAAAATTACATGTGAAATTTTGAGCTAATCCATTACAACACTCAAATTATAAAAAAATGAAAAGGTTATTTGTATCCTATTTTATTCAACATGACCAAGGTTGACAACTTGTGTGTTGATCCATGGGTTGGCCCATTTTGACCCTGCTCGATGAGAAAAATGGGTGTCGCACACCCGCGGATCAACTCGCAGCAAGGTTTCAGAGGTTATACAGTGTTGTTTTTCCCTTTGATTTGTGAAACACGCCCTTTTTCCTGTTTTTCTCCTCGCTTAATCCTATATTTGAAATTCTAAGTTGAACATTTGAGTACTGATGTTATATGAGTGTATTTCAATTTTACGAACTGTGATTTTGATGTAATATTTTATATTATTACCTATATGTTAGATATTTCGTAGCCCTAAAAATATGGTTTGGTTAATGTTTCTGTAGCGCCAAGTACTAATTATACCATACTAATTTGATATAATCTGTAAATGGATAAACAATATAGTGAATTTTTCATATATCTGGACTAAAGAAATAAGAGATCAGACCATTAATGTTTAACCCACTTGCTCTGCCAGGCCAACGGACTAAACTGGGTTCACAAGGTTGAGGCGTCCACCCGCCTTCTCTGGGCATGCAGAGTTTGCTAGAAAGGTACTTCTGATAGTGTGTAGCTTTCTGGTAACTTCTGCCATTTTCAGCCGTTCGTTCGGCGGTTCAGCTGAGCACTTCACTCCCAGTTCAAGCAAGGAAATCAAACACTCTTCCACCTTCTTATAAGTTCCGTCAGTGTTTCCAGGTATCAGCATTGATGGATCTATTAACATCGGAAGTTTGGATGGCAATGCGGCCTTGACAGCGTCTCGTATATTCACACCATCCTTGAACACTTCATCTGTTGGTCTTTTCCCTGATAGGGTTTCCAGCAGCAGGATTCCATAGCTGTACGCGTCCCCTTCCTTTGATGCGGCGGAGCCCGTCCCGTATTCTGCAAACCAGGTTAGGGTATTTCTGTCAGTCTTGTGCTGAATCAATGGGTTTTGAATGGCACCGCGTGGTAGGGTTTCGTTAGAGAGGAAAATTTGTTGAAACTCAAGTTTTTTCCTTACCTGGTGCCGCATAGCCTACCATCCCATTTAGCCCAATTGTGCTTGTTGTGTTTGTTTGAGATGGTGAGAGGATTCTCGCTAGACCAAAATCACTCACATGAGCTACCATGTCATGGTCTAGGAGCACGTTGCTCGGCTTCAAACTGCAATGAACGATTGACGTTCCGCTAAGATCATGAAGATAGTGCATTGCAGATGCCACATCTATTGCTATATTGAGTCTTTGGAGAAGACTGAGATGGTGTGGTGTCTTGATGTTATCATTACAGCAATGCAGCCACTTATCGAGGCTTCCATTGTCGACAAACTCATAAACTAGAGCTCCAAATGCATTTCCTTGGTTGTCTGTGCTAGAGCAGTAAGATAGGATCTTCACGAGGTTTCGATGCCGGACATTTCGCATTATCTTGCATTCCACCGCTAATCTCTTATACACTTTCTTTTTTTGCAGGTTGAACACTTTAATAGCTACTGGTGCTTTCATTTGCTCCAGTTTTCCTTTGTAAACTGTGCCAATACCACCAGACCCGATTAAAGTTTCATGGCTGTATCCATTGGTTGCGTCATGGATGTCTGTGTAGGAGATCTTCACAAACTCGTCCACAGGTGGATCTTCTCCTCGATGGATGTGCTTGTTTGATCTTCTCATCTTGCAATTTAGTAGAAGTCCTATCATTACCACTAGAAGTGCAGATAGAGATGTACTAACAGTGATGACTATTAGCTTCAACTGTGGAGGTCTCCTGTTCTTTGTGGTTTTATTTGGACATTTAGGCAAACGAAACTCGGGAACACCACCACAGAGCATGGGATTGCCTGCCAATGATACAGAGCTTGCATTGGGAATGATCCCCTTTGATGGCACTTCACCTCTCAGATTGTTGAAAGAAAGATTCAAAGACTGTAATCGGATTTCTAGCAGATCTTTTGGGATTTCTCCGTCTAAGTTGTTTCGTGAAAGATCCAATTCCTGAAGCCCTTTCAGAGACGATAAAGCTGAAGGAATAACTGCTTCAAAAGAATTCCCCTGCATATAAAGGTATTCCAGACTTGAGCAACTGCCAATGGTGCTAGGAATTTCCCCTTTCAAATTATTATTAGATATATCCAACTTATTCAAATTTTCCAAATTCCCAATTTCTACAGGCAGGTTGCCTGTGAGCAAGTTGTTTGACAGGTTCAACAATATGGACAATGAAGATAGGCTCAATAATTGTGGAGGTACAGCTCCCATAATTCTGTTTCCTGAAATATCCAAGGTACTCAGTTGAAGACAGTTCCCAATACTGGGTGGAATGTTGCCTTGGAGTTGGTTCTGCGATATATACAGTTCAGATAACCGACTGAGATTGCCTATAGAGGATGGAATCTGACCTGAAAGTTGATTTCCATTCAATGATAGTCTCTGTAGATTAGAAAACTGCCCAAAATAAGGAGGGATGGTGCCTGTCATGTAGTTACCAGAAAGCTCCAGATCCGTCAAGTTGAAGAGATTCACCAACCCTGCAGGGATAACTCCAGTGACTTGATTGGCCCCAATATATAGTGCGGTGAGCGTGGTTGACAGGTTCCCTAGAAATTCTGGTAACGGGCCACCAAAATTGTTGATGCTAATACCCACCCGCCGCAGCTGACTGCAATTGCTCAATGACTCCAGAAATGCAAAGTCGTCTGTTGAATTGCTTCCAAGACGATTTTCAGCCATGTCTAGCGAAGTAAGGCCTCTGAGTTTCCCAAGACAAGTAGGAACCTTCCCTACAAAGTCATTTCGGTTCATATTCACCATCTGTAGCCGAGAGACATTGCAGATTGAATCAGGGATAGTTGCGAAGAATTCATTTTTGGAAATGGCGAAATTTACGAGATTGGGCATGGTGAGGTCCATGTCCACTGGCAATCGACCACGCAAGTGGTTCCAAGGGATTGCAATGGTTTTGATGGATGAGATATTGAAGAAGGATAGAGGGACTGAACCAGAGAGCTGATTGCTTCCAAGAGTAATTGAAGTTAACCTTGATAGCATGCCTGTGCTTTCTGGAATGCTTCCTGTCAAATTATTATATGCAGCACCGAAGTTAAGGAGCAACGAGAGGTTCCCCAGGGAAGGCGGGAGCCATCCTGTTAGATTGTTGGTTCCAACTCTGATGAACTCGAGCTTCGATAACGAGCCAATCTCCATTGGGATGCTCCCCCTAAAGTTATTCGCTTCCATCAACAAGTACTTCAGCCGGGAGCAACGAGTCAGGTTGGTTGGAATCTCGCCTTCAAATGAGTTGCCGCTGAGATTGAGGTGCTCGAGTTGAAGCAAGTTTCCAAGTCGTTGTGGAACCTCACCGTGGAAACTGTTGTCCATGAGGTTGATGAATCTAAGAGAAGTGAGGTTGGCAACGTGTGGAGACAGAGTACCCGCCAGTTTTAGGCTATGGAGATCAAGGGACACGACTCTCTGGCTAGCTAGAGGATCACATGCTACACCAAACCAGTTGCAGAAATGGACTGAATCATTCCAAGATTTCAGAGCTCCATCTCGATCACTGCTGATCCTACTTTTGAACTCCAGCAACGCAAGTCGATCCGTCTCATTGTTGTTTCCTGAACCATTTGCTTGCAGCGGGAAGTTCAGGAACAGGAACATGATCATGAAGCTGTGAAGTGGGAAGGGAGTGGTGGGAAGCTTGGAAATTCTCATTTCAGATCATGAGAACTGAGAAGCAGCCTGCTGCGACGAAGCAGCACAGAAATTAATTTTCTAGCTTCATTTCATTCTCACCGAGGTCGGCAAATATTCAACTGCCGAAACGCACCTCGTCACTCTTTGTTAAATATAAGTTTGGAAGCCGGCAAAAGGGAATAGAGCCATTGTATTAGGTAGGCGACGGCACAAAAGTTGGGAATACTGGGAAATTGAGAATGACGGCTGAATGGGGGAAATGATGAATTGACAATATTATGGTATGGAAGTGAGACAGTGAGAGGCTGAGGAGTTCAGCTTAGGGACTTATATATTGTTATGTTAGGATGCAAGGGTCAACCTCACTATTGAAAGCAGCCGGCGGCGATATGGGCTAAGATTTCATGGTCGTATGTTATGGCCGGAAGTGGAAAAAGACGGCAAGATTCCTCAGGATTTTCGTCCATCAATGTTTTTGGCCGGTTCTATATGCCATCTAGCTCCTTGCTTTGCATTCCTTGCAATTGCCGAAGGTGTAACGTCAACCTATTCCACGAGAGTTGAGACGTACTTGATGAATTTTTCTCAAATGACAATAGAAGTGCCGAGAGATTTGGATATGATTATGGTCTGATTGATAAAATATGTATTATGTAGTTCGAATACTCATGTTCGATGGTAGACGAAAAATCATTGCCTCTCGGGCTCCCGACTGAATCAACCACATAGGCTAACGATAGATAATAACTCGCCAACTCACAAGTAAACGGGTAAAAGAAATTCAGAGCAATATTTCCAATCTTCGGTGGGTAGAAACAAATGGAGCGAAGAACGTATTGAAAGATCTGTAACGATCTATGAACCCAAAAAAAAAGGTTGTATGAGATTGCGTATATTTGTAGAGCTTTAATCTAGCTCCATTGGGAAAGCGACTATGAAACCTCGTTTAACATCCTAATTCTCTAGTTCTCGTTTTACTATCCCTCTAAAATGGTATGGTATGGAAGTTTCTTCAAGTATTTTTTCAACCCCACTAATAGCAGAAATATCAGACAAATACCCATTCCTCGCCAACCGACTGTTGACAAAATGGTATGGTGTGTGGAGAAAAAAAAAAAGAGGCCTTTACACCTTCCGCTTTGCTTATTTAGGGAGAAATCAATATAATGAAGACATAGGGGAACATTTAGAATGATGTTTTTTTTATGTCAATAAACATTTAGTATCAATAACCGGCATGTTCGATGAGATTCAATATAGAATCTTATATTAAATATTAATTTATGATATAGTTAGCAGTTCACTTTCAAATGACATTCTTTATAAAAACGTTTAATATCAATAATTCAAGTGGTTTGGAGATTTGAAAAACTGGTTTGGACTTTGGAGATTTGAAAAACTGGATCTTAAACTATTTACTACATGCCCCCTCAAAAGATAGTCAACTTATATAGGTTTTTTTTTTGTCCGAGTAAGATCAGAAAGATAGTTAGAACAAAAACTACCCACACTCCCTCCCCACCCTTTAACAAACCAACCTACAAAGCCAAAAGAAGCTAACTCTAACCGAGACAGCAACAAGGCTTTACGTGCCACTCTATGGGCAACCCAGTTGGAAGGCCAGTTCAACTTATATGGGTTTTAAGTTTGCACCAAATATGAATATCATGTGCATAAGCACAATAGCATCACAAAAATTCGAACACAATACCTCACAATGAACCATTCTCATTTTCTGAAAAAACTATTTATAACTAACTAGGTTGAATGAGCTATACAAATGTGTTGACAAATATGATGCGGTTGACATGTGGCAGAGTTAAGACAAAAAATCTTCACATCAACATAAATCGTTAATCTACTCAACATCACTAACCGTGTTGTGACGAAATGACTCCAAATTTTGATTCTACGAATGTATTTTGCCAAATTTGACCATAAGTATCCAAAACGTCAAAGTCAGCAATGGGAGTGATTCTTTGTATTAAAAAAAAAAACTCTCTGCTAAGATTTTCATCCATTTCTCGTTAGAAGTCGAAAAGGTTTGAAAAAGAAATGTGTTGAGGGATAAGATATATACACAGGACCAGTGGAGACAGGAAGAAGAGTGGCCCGGGCCCCTGAGAAGAAGTTTACTGCTCTCTTCAATGCACGCAGAGAAAAAATCAACCCAATGTTACAACAATCAAGACTTGACAAAAAGCATCATTCCCATTAATGGTTACCTGTGGAAGAAGGAAAGGGGGGGAAAAAGCACTAAAGCTCGAAAAAGGGTATCTGTTACCTGTGGTAGCTAATCTCTCTGTCGTTGCAGCAGGCTGCTTCTCATAATCTGAAATGAGAACTCCCAAGCTTGCTACCACTTCCTTCCTACTCCACAGCTTGATTATCATATTTCTGTTCCTGAACTTCCAACTGCAGGCAAATGGTTCAGGCAACAATGAGACGGATCGACTTGCCCTGCTGGAGTTCAAAAGTAAGGTGAGCAGTGACCCGGATGGAGCTCTGAAATCTTGGAATGATTCCGTCCATTTCTGCAACTGGTTTGGTGTTGCATGTGATCCTCTTCCTAGCCAGCGAGTCATTTCCCTTGACCTCCATGGCCAAAGTCTGGTCGGTACTCTGCCTCCTCACGTCGCCAACCTTACTTCTCTTAGATACATCAACCTCATGGAGAACAGTTTCCACGGTGAGCTTCCACAGCTACTTGGAAACTTGCTTCAACTCGAGCACCTCAATCTCACCGACAACGCATTTGAAGGCGAGATTCCAACCAACCTGACTCGTTGCTCTCAGCTCAAGTACTTCTTGTTGGAGGCGAATAAGTTTAGGGGAAGCATCCCGCTGGAGATTGGCTCGTTATCGAAGCTCGAGTTCATCAGAGTTGGAACCAACAATCTGACAGGATGGCTCCCGCCTTCCCTGGGGAACCTCTCGTTGCTCCTCAACTTCGGTGCTGCGTATAATAACTTGACAGGACGCATTCCAGAAAGCATAGGCCTGCTACCAAGGTTAAGATCAATTACCCTTGGGAGCAACCAGCTCTTTGGTTCACTCCCTCCATCCTTCTTCAATATCTCATCCATCAGGACCATTGCAATTCCTTGGAACAACTTGCGTGGTCGATTGCCGGTGGACATGGACCTCACCATGCCCAATCTCGTAAATTTCGCCATTTCCAGAAATGAATTCTTCGCAACCATCCCTGATTCAATCTGCAATGTCTCTCAGCTACAGATACTGAATATGAACCGAAATGACTTTGTAGGAAAGGTTCCTACTTGTCTCGGGAAACTTGGGAATCTTACTTCCCTATACATGGCTGACAATAATCTTGGAAGCAATTCGACGGGCGACTTTGCATTTCTGGAGTCATTGAGCAATTGCAGTCAGCTGGACGGGGTGGGTATTAGCATCAACAATTTTGGCGGCCCGTTACCAGAATTTCTGGGGAATCTGTCAACCACACTCACCAAACTGTTTATTGGCTTCAATCAAGTCACTGGAGTTATCCCTGCAGGGTTGGTCAATCTCTTCAACCTGACGGATCTGGAGATTTCCTATAACTACTTGACAGGCACCATCCCTCCTTATATTGGCCAGCTTTCTAATCTGCAGAGACTAACATTGAATGGAAATCAACTTTCAGGTCAGATTCCATCCTCTATAGGCAATCTCAGTAAGTTGTCTGAACTGTATATAGGACAGAACAAACTCCAAGGCAACATTCCACCCAGCATTGGGAACTGCCTTCGATTGACTGCCTTGGATGTTTCAGAAAACAGAATCACGAGAGCTATACCTCCAGAGTTGATGAGCCTTTCTTCGTTGTCCATATTGTTGAACCTGTCAAACAACCTTCTCACAGGCAACCTGCCTGCAGAAATTGGGCAGTTGGAAAATGTGAATATGTTAGATATCTCTAACAATCAATTGAAAGGGGAAATTCCTAGCACCATTGCCAGTTGCTCAAGTCTGGAATACCTTTATATGCAGGGGAATTCTTTCGACTCGGTTATTCCTCCAGCTTTATCGTCTCTGAAAGGGCTTCAGGAATTGGATCTTTCACGAAACAAATTAGATGGAGAAATCCCAGAAGATCTACTACAAATCCGCCTACAGTCTTTGAATCTTTCTTTCAATAATCTGAGAGGTGAAGTGCCATCGGAGGGGATAATTGCCAATGCAAGCATTGTATCATTGACAGGCAATCCCATGCTCTGTGGTGGTGCTCCAGAGTTCCTTTTGCCTAAATGCCCAAATAAGACCACCAAGAATAGAAGGCCTCAAAAGTTGAAGCTAATAGCCATCATTGTTAGCACATCTCTATCTGCACTTTTAGTGGTAATGATAGGCCTTGTACTATATTGCAAGATGAGAAGACCAAACAAGCATATCCATCAAGGAGAAGATCGACTGGTGGACGACTTTGTGAAGCTTTCTTACAGAGACATCCATGATGCGACCAATGGATACAGTCATGAAACTGTTATCGGGTCTGGTGGTATTGGCACAGTGTACAAAGGTAACCTGGAGCAAATGGAAGCACCAGTAGCTATTAAAGTATTCAACTTGCAAGAAAAGAAAGCGTATAAGAGATTAGTGGTGGAATGCAAGATAATGAGGAATATCCGGCATCGAAATCTCGTGAAGATTCTATCTTGCTGCTCTAGCACAGACAACAAAGGTAATGCTTTCGGAGCTCTAGTTTATGAATTTGTGGAGAATGGGAGCCTCGATAAATGGCTGCATTGCGGTAATGATGGCATCAACACATCACACCATCTCAGTCTTCCCCTAAGACTCAATATTGCAATAGATGTGGCATCTGCATTGCACTATCTTCATGATCTTAGTGGAACATCAATCGTTCATTGCAATTTGAAGCCAAGCAACGTGCTCCTAGACCATGACATGGTAGCTCATGTGAGTGATTTCGGTCTAGCGAGAATCCTCTCACCATCTGATACAAATACAGCAAGCACAATTGGGCTAAACGGGATGGTTGGCTATGCAGCACCAGGTAAGGGGAAAAAACATGAATCCCCACGATTTGCCTTCAAAAAGAAACCCTTTTCACGCCATTGAAAACATTAATTCAGCACACTGACAGAAAACCCTAACCTGGTTTGCAGAATATGGGACGGGCTCCGGGGCATCCAAGGAAGGGGACGTGTACAGCTACGGAATCCTTGTGCTGGAAATTCTATCAGGAAAAAGACCAACAGATGAAATGTTCAAGGATGGTATGAATATACGCAACTTTGTCAAGGCCGCATTGCCATCCATACTTCCAACCTCGATTGATCCTTCAATGCTGATATCTGGAAAAAATGACGGAATTGACAAGAAGGTGGAAGACTGCTTGATCTCCTTGCTTGAACTGGGAGTGAAGTGCACAGCAGAAGCGCCGAACGAACGGATGAAAATGGCTGACGTTACCAGGAAGCTACAGACTATCAGAAGTACCTTTCTAGCAAAATCTGTCCGCTCATAGCGATGGAGAAGACGGGTGGATGGCCGGCATGCTAACCACAGCAGCAAATTTCCAGATATGTTCAGAACTCGAACGTGGACACTTATTATACAACTCTGAACTGCTTCTGTTTTAATATTCAAACTGCATTCACCTCAGACCTCAAGCGGTGTATAATAAGTACCTTATTTAGCAATTATCTCCGGGCAGGGGATTTCAGAGATCAAAACCCCTGGGATCCTGGAAAATGAGCAGGAGCAGAATTGATGAATCCAGCTCTATAAATCTCTACCTCAACTAGCAACCATATCACGAGGGGCTAACCGATTAAACACTCTCAAACATAGAAGAACACTGTGCTTGGAATTGGAGAAAACACCCACACTACTCTGCATACGCCTCGAACCTCAAGAAATGTATTGAGGAATAACATATGTACACGATATCTGCTTCGAATCAAACAGGATGCACGAACAATTGACTATGCATATACCACACAAAAGGAGATATGTGCTTTCCACTGGGTAAATGGAATAACTCCAACAGTAAGTAGTAGTTGCTACGGGAGGAATCGGGATAACAAAGCTAAAATAGGATTGGAGTAACCTAACAGTCATACTTTCTATCTACAAACCCTTTCACGGGTTCCCCGTACCAGTATCTCATTAGTAAGTCTGGTTTTCATGTTCTGCGAGAATCACGTTTCGAGCCTGTACCACCACGCTGCTGCTGCTTTGCATACAAAGACCCTGCCCCCGGTACATTTACACGCGGAGAGGCCATTAGTGTAGTCATAGGTTGGAAATTAGTGTTTCCAATGAACCAGTAGAGAGCCCATTTCAAATTGCAAACCGTGTACTTGCATGCTTTTGTCCAGTTCTCTGGCTTATTGAAGCTCTGGGCGATGGAATGGCCTTCCACTTTGTCATTCTCAATCCTGACAGCAAAGTACATGAATAGTTACCAGAGATTGGAAAGTGGCTTCTATAGTGAATTAAATTACGGCAGGAAAAAGTGAGAGAATGACTTACTTGTATGGAAGCTTGAACCTACTCTCAGGTGGGATGTTGTTCTCTTGGTCCTTCAAATATGCAAAATCAGCAAAGTCCTTGAGGCATGTCAGGTACAGTATCATCGCTTTATCATAGCGAGTGCTCCAAAATAAGTTCACCGGTCCAAACCTAAGAAGACAGTTCAGTACAAGAGAAAAAGACTAACAAGAAAGGTGCGTACTAAATCTCAGGCATTCAGTACTTACAGGTCATAGGAATTGTTGTTGCTATCCATAATGCGCGGGTAGCTCCCCATAGGAATCATTTTTATGTGATATCTAAACATTTCAGCAAGTAAAGGATGTCCTATCCACAAACATCCATCCATCACTGACCATTCAAATCATAACTAACTCATTTATGAGAGGAAGGACCAGATGCAGGTATATAACAAGATTGATTACGTAATAGAAAGCAACTATTTAAGAACTGGCATGTCCTATGTCATGTTCCTTATTCAGATGTGAAATTCAGTAGAAGTCTTCATAAGCCAATGATCAAGTGCTCCGACAGGATCAGAACTCCGAGTGGAAATATTATCTTTAATGGCAAGAACGGACCCCCATTGTTCTCCTTTCTTGGCGAGAACCACCATAACTTTTCTTTTAATTTTCATCTTACCTTCATTCATAAAAGCAATGCAGCTTAAATACAAAAGAAGGGGAAGGCATTCCTATACCTAAGGATCATGGCTAATCCCACACCTAACTAACATCTAAATTCAACTAAGGACTCCCTCTCCCTGCGGACTCGCTAGCAGAACTGAATCATTAGTCCTACGTCCTAACTAATAGCAACAACAAAAACTAGGAGTTAGTGGTCAAAGTGGACATCCCCAAGTCTGCAAGCAGCCAACTACTAAACAAAGGGAAATTTTATCTAACCTAATTAACAATCCATAAAATTAACTTAAATAGAAAAGTTCTCAATTTAACAATTCACAGTTCCATCATGTTCCCTGCAATCAGAGATTCATTTCATATTTATTATAATTAAGAAGTTCTTTGTATCGTATGCAATTGGTGAAATCAACAAAGCGATTGCACATTACAATCAGCAAGTTGACTTGTGGAGAAAAAGGATACGGAAATTTTGGCTTGAAGTATTGACACATTGTATGGAGGAGTAGACAAGCTTGGCCCCAGGCAGCATTTATCTCATCCCATTCAACCTATTCAATGTTTCCACAAAGTTTCTTGTAAATATTATTATGCTTTTAATGCAATGTAAATAGAAGGTATACAGTCCGTCAAAAAAACAGTAGGTAGACAGAACTACCCCAATGCAGACTGCAAGGCAGTATTAGTAACTTTACCGGGATTTTAGGAAGTCTGCCAAGTCGGAAATTGTTTATAGTTCCAAAGTCTCCATCATGATAGATTGGGAAAGCATCACTCAGCACACTGGTTTGCTTCAACAACTCCAAGTGCGCTTGAGAAACCTCGGTCTTCGCTAGAATCGCATCTCTCTCTTCCTAGAGTGATCCATCAAAAAATTATCATTCAAAGTTATGTAGGTTGCTATAGTTCATCGTAAAACAATGGCAACAACCTCAGACGCTTCAAAAGAAAAGCCTCCATGACAGTAGAGTACAAAACTATGAGTGTAAGAAGGGTACAGCATATGGAAAATGAACAGTCAGCAGCACACCTGATATGATATTAATTGGAACTGAAAATTATTGAACTCCTGCCAGTACCTGCAGTAGAGTGAGGTCAGGCCTCAAATAGACAGAATATATTTTACAAATCTCAGTTAAGCAGCTCTAGGGTTGGAACTATGACTCCTTGAAAGTGAACAGTAGGGAAACAGAGTCAGCATTAACCTGTAATTCACACATCCAATCCTCAAAGATAGAGTTCGAAGGAGAACTTACCTCTCTTCCAGTTCTTTAAAGCGGCCAGATTTTAACTCCAATTCCTCCAGTTCAGCATTTACTTCAGCATTCTGTTTCTCGATCTCTGAAATAGTAGCTTCAAGTTTTCTTTCTTCCTCCTCAATCTTAAGGAATCATAACAGAAAACCAAATGGTTATTTATCTGCGTAGCATGTTTATGAAAAATCAACATCAAATGCAATAGAAGCATACAGTGGCTGCTCAATCTGCACAAACTAAGCTAACAGCAAAAGTAGGAGCTCACAGCAGCAAATATGATAAATATTCCTTCCAAGTCACAGACCAAAAATCACCTAAGCAACGGTGTATCAAAGGGCCACAAAATTCCTTGATGCAGATAAAAACCCCTATCAGTTATGAAGAACCAACCTTTAGTTTCTCCTTCAGAAAATCAGCCTCGCTGAGAACATCTCGGGTCTCTCCTTCAAGGCGTTGGAGGCATGCTTCATACGCCTCAATGTCCTTATTCACATCTTCAACCTCCTTGTCAAGTTTATCAGATAACACTCTCATGCACTCAAGACACAATGGCTGCTCAACCTACAAGTTCAAAAGCTCGATACAGTAAACACAGATTATGATCTAGTTATGGGACAACTTATGTGCGCGTTCAAAAGAGCTTACTCACTACACTACACCCACGACCCACCTGTGTCTGCGTTGTTGCAATCTCAAATGCCCGTTTAAGGACAGAGATTGTAGAATGAAACCCGGCATTGTTGGGATGCAACTGACCATTGGATCCTCCTTCTAGAGCAGGCAACTGTCCCCCTCCGCCTCCATCAGAGGCAGGCTCAGACTTGTAAACGACGACAAAGGATTCGTCCATAGCCTTCCCAGGCTGAACGCCTCCACCTCGTGGACGTGGAGGGTTTCCCTGCAGTTGGGGCTTTTGATTTGGCAATACGACAAAAGAATTGTCCATGCGTGACGAGCCCAGTACGCTGTTAGCACCATGAGCTGAAATTGAATAAAAAAAAAGCAAACCCTATCTCGTTCAGAATCAACTGAAAGCTCAAACGGAGCGAAAGAGGAGAATTGCGAAGAAAACAAACCGGAGCGGAAAGAGGACTCGTTTAAGAACTTGTCAGCGAAGGAATCAGCTCCGACGATGCAAAGAGAGTGCCGGCAGTTCTGGCACATCCATCGCGGAAGGTTGGGATCCACCTGGACTTGAAGACTCCCGCCCTTATCGCTCATTGGAGAGGACACAAACTGAATCTTTCGTCTTCCTTCTGTTAACTCAAGAATTGGAAATTTTTTTTTTTTTTTTTTTTTTGGTTTAGAATTGGAAATTTTCACTCTCTTCTCCGGCGGAGCTCCACAAAAATTTTCTCTGATCGAATTAAACAACCGGTTTACGTGCTCGCCTGAGAAAAATTATTCCCCAGCCCACTATTTGGCCCATTTAATAGTTTCGGGCCCAGTTTTATCCGCTTGAAGTTTTAAATGAAAGCCCGGCAGGTTTAAAGCGTCAGAAAAAAAAACAGTGTGTTTCTCAGAAAGGACAATTCTGTAAATTCATCTAAATCGAGAATCCCCAATTCGAAGCTTTTCACTGGGAAAGATACGTGTAGACTTATGAGGAGTTAGTAATCCTATGTGTTTATATTTTTTATTAAAAAAGTTATTAGCTCAATATCATCCATCTGTTAAAAAAAATAGAAAAGAGAATGACTCCAATAATGTGTAAGAGAGGTGTTAAAAATGACAACAAAAAACGGGTTAGCACATAGCACGCTAACTCACCTCTTACTTATCATAGTACTATGCTAGTAAGAACACTTAAATAGTTTTATAAAAAAAACACGTAAATAGCATAAATCTTTATTAGTTGAGGACTACTTAATTAATCAAGTAGTTGTACGTGGTCAGCTCGTAATTTGATAATCTCTAGTTAGATTGACTAAATATCGTTTTAGAACAAGTAAATTGCCTTCACAAAAACGACATCATCCTACTAAAAATTATTGTATAATGAAACGGAAAAAAAACAAAACAAAACGATAGACAAAAACAAAAACAGAGGAAGATTATTAAAACCTTCTATCAAATTAGTTCCAATAGTAGCAAGCATATATCATCCATAAGTTCAAAGAAAGAAAATAACATTACAATGACTACCAACCTTTATTTATAGACAGGATGATGAAAATAAGAGACAACAAAAACAAGCAAGCATGCCCAAGGAAATCAAATTAAAAGAAAAACTAGAGAAAAAAAGAGTTCTTAAATCAAATTGCAGCAAGCTTAAGTAGAGCAATTTAGACGTCCATTGCTGTGACGAGCAGAGCCATCATCATATCCCTAGTGACTGTGTAGGAGACGGTATAACTATCGAAGTCCTTGTAAAGCACTTTCATCACCCTCGCGAGCCCAACAAATTAAACATCGAAAGAACATCCTTAGATATGAAATTCGGAGAGTTGATGCAATCCTCGTTTATGCCCTTCCAGTCTTCCTCCACCATTTCGTTCAATGCTTCAACCGCCTCCTCTGTCGACACGCCGTGTTGGTTCGTATAAACCTCAACCGACGAGATGACATGTCCTCGTTCCTGCTCGAACTGCATAAATTCCCCGAGATCGAATTTTCATATAAGTTTATTGATGAGATAAAATAAAATTTGCTAATCTCGTTAACTATAAGATCCAATTTCGGACAACTCCCAATTACAGGACGAATTCTTAGATGTTTGATATTAGCTTAAAGTTTTTTTGTCCACATGTCATGTACGTGTTATTGTATTCAGTGGCGGAGCCACATGTAGAGGAGAGGGGTCCTAGGATCCCACTTGGAAAAAAAAAACAGGACAATAAAACCCTTTAGATGTATAGGTTTTAGTAGGATCCTTTGTATTTAGGAATTAGGACCCCATACTTTTGTTGATGTTAGCTCATCTAAGGATACCAATCAACTCAAAGTTCATTATATACACATACTAAAATGTTTTAAAAATTTTAAGGATCCCAATCAATTCAAAGTCTGGCTACGCCACTGATTGTATTTACAATCTTCAATATATTAACATTCAATTGAACATTTCTTCTAGCCATTTGAGTTACTATGAATGATATGAATGATGAGACGGAATTTGATTTTTAATATACCTTATGAGATACGATGTCATCCATGAGCCGACGGTGATCCGAGACGGCTACGAGGATTTTGGGACCAGTCACCAACCAGTCAAATACCTCCTTTGGTGCACCCAAGCCGTAGAAGGATGAGCATGCCAACACCGGGTAAGCAGATGAATATACGCCCACATGTCAATATTCCTCTATTGTTGGCACTTCTCCTCGAGCAAACCATCTCGCTTGTGTTAGGTACGCTCTCATTAGGTTCTTTTCCTACAATAATAATATAATTTAATAATATATGACCAAAAAAAAATTAATAATGGTAATGATTGGTATACTCAAGTAGGGATGACAATTTTGCCCATACCCATGGGTATTTTACTATCCAACCCAATTGGGTTGGGAATGAAATCCAAATATATGGATATGGGTAAAGTTTGATAGGTTTGTACCCATACCCATTTACTTTGGGTTGGGTTGGGTTGGGTTTATAACAAATGGATTTGGGTTTGTACCCATGCCCAAATGCAAATTACAGTTTGGTACCTAAACTTAATAGATATGCATATTTAGTACCTAAATTTAATTTTTTTTGCATATAAGTCCTCAAAATATCAATGGAAAATTACGTTTTGGTACCTAAATTTTTTTGGTCTTACATTTTGGTACCTAAAATTTTCAAGTTTTACAAATAAGTCCAATTTTTGCATGTGTAGTTAAAACACCCTCAAGTAAATGGATATCCATATCCAACCCATACCCATTTAGATAATATCCATATCTAACCCAAACCCATATACAAACCCCAAACCCATACACACATCCCCCAAACCCTACCCATAATAAATGGGTCTACTTGGGTTTGGGCAAAATTACCCATGGGTGGGTAAATTGCCATCCCCATACTCAAGTAGTATAGTATACTCCACGTAATCTGTCCATTAGATGAATTGCGATGAGCTCCGACAAATCTCAACGGTCAATTATTTTTTATTTATTTAATTGAACTTTGGATTTGAGTTTAAAGAATTAGTGCATGGGGTTTATCCATTAGAGGTGAGGGTATATAGTATCATACTCCAAACTCGATTTAATTCATGGTCTACATAAAGATATATCTCACTACGAGTATGTGGAGTATAGTATACTCTATGAGTACATCAGTCTGGCCCATTTAATAATATATTCAAATTAAGGTGGCTTCTATGATACACTCACAAAAGTAAGTGAGTGTATACTATGCACAATCTCTAAAACTAGACTTAACACATCGAATTTTGAATTTTAATTGGTAGTATAATCTAATATGGTCATATAATATAGGTTCACAACTAATCAAAAGCATTATCATAAGTCCTAAACCTTCAATTCTACACCATAACCCTAAACTCCAAAATTGTAAACCCTCAACTCTCACCCTAAATCGCTAACTAAACACTAAAACATGGAAATCAAAATAAACCCTGAAATAGTTTTTGTGCGAATGCATGTGAAGTTTTGTCCACTATATCACAAGTGACTAGGGGTGGACATTGGTGCGGTCAAACTGCTCCGAACTGCACCGAACTGCTTTTGTGGTCGAGCCAAACCGCACCGCAATACTTGCGGTCTAATAAGCGGTCGGAATTTCTTGCGGTTCGCAGTTTGCGATCGGATCAATCCGAACCGTGCGGTTACGGTTAAAACCACAAACCGCTAAGTAACATTTCACGTTTGATTTGTCGGGAAAAAAGGATCGGCTTGATTTCTAGAGAGAGAGTATTTACCTTTCCTCTCCCTTTCCCGTCCCACCTCCTCTCCCTTGGGAACAATCTCTGTAAGTTTGGTATGGCAGCCATGGCAGGTTTTGGTTGAGGGAAGAAGAAGATCAATCAATCATTCATTTTTATAAATTATTATTTTAGAATTTATGTTAGAAGTTCAACCATTCATTTTTAGTTTGAGTAGATCAATCAATCAAATTCGTGATGAGCCGAATTTGAACTCAATTCATTTTCTAATGAGTTAAACTTAATTAGGCCAAAACTTGACTTATCTCTACTCGTTAACTTTATTCTCCAGCCCACTATGTGGCCCACTTTGATTGTTGCGGCCCATATAAGAACACTGGATCAATAGCTCCCCATTCACTTGTTTGGGCTTCTGATCAGGAATCTATAAAATTATTAAAGGCCTTTTGGATTTAACCCATTGCCACGTACTCCTTCCTGTAAAATTAAGCTATCCACGTCAGCTTTTAAGAATCCCGTCTCGCATATAAAATCGTCGCTTCTAATTGCCCGAAATTATTCGCCGCTTCCTCTCCTCCATCCGCCAAAATCTGCAACTGCAATCTTCTCCAGTCTGTCCCCTATCTCCCGTGGTTTCTATCAATTGCATTGCAGAGCAGAGTGAATTTCGTTTCTTGCCACAACAGGCGCCTGCCCCATCGCCCACTCTCATCTCTGCTGTCCGTCTAGCGCTCTTCCGCCACAACCCATCGCCGCTGTTGCCGACCCGCTTGCCTGCTCCGTTGATTCTACACTCTCCCCCTTCTTCGACAGCCGTCTCCCTCGCCTACAACCCGCGAACTTGATTAATGGACGTGGAAAGACCAATCCGCAAAGCACGCCAAATTCTGCGTTGGCCTTGCTATGATGCTATTTTGTTCACTTTATTGTATGCGTTGTGTATAATTATTTGGTATTAGAGAAGCCGCATATATATTAAGAGATTCATTGTAACTCCCGTTTATATATTTTTCTTTTCTGACGACAAACCAATGTCTTATATCATTGTGCAGTTCCTGTGAATAACTATGGCGCTTCAAGTTGGACTCCAACTCAAGCATTTTCTTCTTGGCCATCCACCAACAACTCTGCATCTCATTTACATCAGGTGCCCTCAATTAGATCATGCATTCCATGCAGATACCCTTTGACTATCAGTTGGGACTCTAAAGTTGTTCAATATTATAATGGCTTTAGCATATAAACCAGATGTCAGCACTTATCTGGGTTGGTGATAGGTTTGTCAATTGACAAATCTTTGATATAATTTTAGAATAAAAGTGTTTTTTTTTTTAAATTTACCTATTTTATTTTAGTGAAGATAGTATGTGAACTCAAGACTATTTGATAATTCTTGATAATTTTGTTTTTACTTGGCACTCCAATGGATCTAATTTATCGATTGGTGACTGACTCCACCGTAAATAAATTGTCACTCTAATGTTGCTAGCCATGACACTAATTGATTTATAAAGCATAAGATATATTGTCAGAATTAACTAATAAGAAAATATCACCAAATGCTTTCATTTATAGGCCGAAATTGTAATAATGTTGATTATAGAAAGTAATATTCATCCTAATTGACTTATCTTTAATACATTGCTTTATGATTTTAGCAAATATCGAATGATTTTAGAGGTTAAAGCTCTTATCAAAGTGATGATTCAAGATCAACTGAGCTCAGATACCATCTATCATTTTTGTTCCTATCAATGTTCTATATAACTATGTTGGATCATAAATTGGAGGCTAAAACTATACTACTATGTACCATTCATAAAATGAACTCTATAATCCTATATAATTATAGTCATAAATTATAATGATAGATAAATGAACGAAAAAAATAATATTAGAGCCAACTGCCCAACGGGCAGGGTTTAAGCTAGTAGTTATGTACCAGTTTGGGTTTCAGCCACTTGAAGTTTATGCCCAGCAGGCAGCAGGTGTAAAGGGGGACAGGTTACGGTGATTACTACAAAGTAGTAATCACCGTGGTTACTAAGGGTAAATTGGGTATGGAAAAATAAATTATATTAATTAATTTTTTAATAAATTACATTTAAGGTAGTTACAAAAATCTATTAATTAAAATTCTCTCTTTCTTTCACTTCCGTAATCTCCAGCCAGATTTCCTTTCCATATTTTTCTCAATCTTTCTGCAAAAAAAAAAAAAAAAAACGTAATCAGTACCAATCCATTAGATAAACACTACCACTTTGAAAAATATCAATACCATTGTAGAAATAAATCTATACCATTACACGAAAACTACCATTGCAGAAATAAATTTATACCATTACACGAAAACTACCAATATAAACTATCTATACCATAAACAATCAATACCATTGTACAAATAAATCTATACTATTACACAAAAACTACCAATATAAATAATCTATACCATAAACAATCAATACCATTGCAGAAATAAATATATACCATTACACGAAAACTACCAATATAAACAATCTATACCATTGCACATTGAATCCATAACGAAAACTACCAATATGTCTATTTGGTATGTATGTTGTGATGGTAGAGAGAGAGCAGAGAGAGCAGCGAGTAGAGAGAAAGAGAGAGAGGGGTATGGAAATGAAGCTACCTCGTTGGCTGACAGGGGTGAACAGAGCATGGAAGCAGGAGGAACAGAAGGCTTAAAAGAGAAAGGTGATGAGGGTAAGGGGAGGGGTTGGTGGTCGGGGCAATAGTGAAAAGGCTTCCTCGCCATCTCCCCCTGGTGATTCGTCGATGGGTTCGCCGCAGCCGGGTAGGGGCGGGCGGGCATGTCTCGTTGAGGAGAGTGAGGGATTAGGGTTTGGCTATAATATATAGAAATTAATTATTTAAAGGATAGAAATCTGGTGTGGTATATTTTTCATTTTCAAAATTACCCTTCATCTAATCTTCACCGTCAATTTAATAATAGGATGAAATAAGGATAATGAAGGGTATAGATGCTAGTAGCCACCATGATTACTTAAAATTGAATAACCACCCTAACTCATCCCGTATGTTCAGAAAAATCAAAGAGTGTTTCTCTAGAAGGAGAATTCTGCCAACTGGAAAACTGGTGACTTCTTTCCCCCCTCTCTGCAGGATTTGTCATCAAAGCTGCAAGTTTGGAACAAGGAAGTCTTTGGTAACATCTTCAGAAGGAAGAGAAAGCTGATGAACAAGCTTCAGTCTCTGGAACTGTTCAACGAGAGGAACCCAACAGGGAGATCTCTCGCGCAGGAGGGTCAGGCGAGAGTGGAGCTTGAACACACTTTATGGCAAGAGGAAGTGTTGTGGAGACAGAAATCAAGGGCCAACTTTTGGGTTCAAGGAGACTGCAATACCAGATTCTTTCACAATAGCACCTTGAGCAGGAGGAAAAGAAACAGAATTGTCGGGCTTAAAGATGAGATTGGTGAATGGATTACCGACCCAGAGGTTCTCCAAATCATGTCAAGAGACTTCTACGTCCAGCTCTACACCAGAGAAGAGAGAGACCAGTGGCCCTCTATCCCAGCGGAGTTCCCTGAAATCGATGGGAATAGAGCTGCCAGAATCGCAGAAAGACCGACCCCAGAAGAGATCAAGTCAATTGTCAGCAATATGAATGGCCTCAAAGCTCCGGGAAAAGATGGCTTCCACGCCATTTTTTACCAGAAGTGCTGGAAGCTTGTGGGAGCTGACCTTGTCAGTTTCGTCTCCTCATGCTTCTCGAACCCGGAGAACATCAGGACCATGAACGGAACCCTTCTTGTCCTGATCCCAAAGACTGATTCTCCTTCTTCCATGGCCCATTTTCGTCCTATAAGCTTATGCAACGTTGGGTACAAAGTAGTGGCGAAGTGTTTGGCCGAGAGGCTAAAGAACTTAATGCCCTGCCTTGTGAATCCAAATCAAACAAGCTTTGTACCTAAAAGACATATAACTGACAACATCATCATTTTGCAGGAGACCGTACACTCAATGATGAAGCGAACTGGCAAAAAAGGAAGTATGCTGCTCAAGATCGACCTTGCAAAGGCTTACGACAGGATTGACTGGAGATTCCTGGAAGAAACTTTGCAAAGTACGAGACTGCCAGCAGGATGTGTGAACATTATTATGAAGTGTGTCACCGCAACCTCAATGCAAGTGTTGTGGAACGGAGGGGAAACTGAGAGCTTCACACCGAGCAGAGGTCTTCGGCAGGGATGTCCTCTCTCCCCTTACCTCTTTACTCTTTGCATTGAGAGATTGAGTCATTGCATTAATAGCTATGTTAACGTTGGAAAATGGAAACCCTTACAACTGTCTGTGAATGGCCCCCTTCTTTCACATCTTTTCTTTGCGGATGATCTCGTTCTCTTTGCTGATGCGAACCTCAAGCAGGCGGAATATGTGACTGAGTGCCTGGAGTTATTCTGTAATGCCTCGGGGGAACTCATCAACAAAGAGAAATCGAGAGTGTTCTTTTCTAAGAACACTAGCAAAGAGAGTAGGATTAGGATTTGCCAGAAGCTTAGTATTCAATCAACAACTGATCTTGGAAAATATCTAGGGGTACCTGTTTTGCATGGTAGGATTAACAAGAATACCTATAGATATATCCTTGACAAGATTGAAAACAAGCTTACAGCCTTGAAGGCTAAAACCCTCTCCCTTGCAGGAAGGGTAACTCTAGCTCTATCTGTGCTCAATTCTATCCCTATTTATGCTATGCAAACTTCTATTCACCCTGTCTCTGTTTGTGATGCAATTGATAGGAAGATTAGATGGTTTGTTTGGGGATCTCAGGAAGGGAAGAGGAAAGTTCACTTGGTGGGATGGGACACTGTTTGCAAACCAAAAGATCAGGGTGGTCTGGGACTCAGATCTGCTAGGGAGCTTAATATGGCTTACATGATAAAGATTGCTTGGCAGATTTTTAACAATGAGAATGCTCTTTGGGTGAAGGTACTTCAAGGAAAATACTTCAAGCACCAAGAGGGCGCTATCACATCGATGAAGAAGACCAACCACTCACCTCTTTGGAGAGCTGTGCTGAGAGCAATGCCTCTTATGAAGTCTGCAATGGTCTGGAGCATCAGAGACGGCAAGAGTATAGGTTTCTGGATCCACCCTTGGCTAGAGAATGGGCTCATTCTTGAAGACTTTCTTTTGAGAAGCATCAACGAGGAAGACCTTGGCTCTTGGGTGGCCAGCTGGACTACACCTTCAGGGGATTGGGACTGGAACCGCCTCCACAAGAGATTCTGACCCTCATTGCTGGTGCTGAACCACCTGTTGCTGGCTCTGGAGAAGACAAATCTCTATGGGGGATTGAGCACGATGGAAGATTCCGGCTTAAATCAGCTTACAAGCTTGCCTCGAATGCACTGGATGATGAAAGCAACGACAAATGGAAAGGGCTTTGGAAATGGAAAGGCCCAAGTAGAGTGAAGCATTTCCTATGGTTGGCATCCCACAACCGCCTGCTGACCAACAAGGAAAGGTGGAAGAGGGGACTTACAGCAAACAACAGTTGCCCCTTCTGCAAAGACCTGGAGGAAACCACTGAGCATATCATCAGGACCTGCAGCAAAACAAGTGGTGTCTGGACCCACTTTAGCAACTTCCTCGCTGTGAAGAGTTCCACCGCCGATTTCAGAGATTGGCTCCATAGAAACCTTCAAGATAATGAGAGGGGTACCGAGTTTGGTATCATTTGCTGGAATATATGGAAGGAAAGAAATGAGGAGGCTATGGATGGCCGTGTGTACTCTGAAGCAGGTCTTATTCAAAGAATTGAAGCTAGTTTCAACATTCACAGATATGCTGTCATTAATGCAATGAAAATCTGCAACTCGGGGGTTCCAACGAGGGAGGTCAACTTCATCTCATGGAAGCCACCAAAGGAGGGATGGGTTCAAGTGCAAAGTGATGGAAGCTTCATGGCATCAACTGGCAACGCTGCAGCAGGGGGGCTCCTCAGAGACCATTTGGGAAGATGCTCTGACGCTTTCGTTGCCAACCTTGGGTCATGCTCAATCACAAGAGCCGAACTCAGAGGGGCTTTGGAAGGGCTAAGGATTGCTTGGCGAAGAGGCTTCAAGAAGATACAGCTTAACTTGGACTCTTCAACAGCAATCAACATCATTAAGAACTGGGCGGACAATGACCATAACCATGGTTTGATTGCTCAACAGATTGGTGAACTCCTAAGTAGGAGATGGGAAGTGAATGTATGTCATATTTATAGAGAAGCAAACTTTGCTGCTGACTTCCTAGCGTCCAAGGGTCATTGTGTTAATTTTGGCACACATCTCTTCGATGTGTGCGACCCTGAGCTCAGACACTGGCTTTTGTACGATGTTAGAGAAACCGCCCAAGAGCGGGGTATTTTAATCTAAGCTGGGGATGCCTCTGCATCCGTCTTTTTACCAAAAAAAAAAAGAATTCTGTAAATTGATCTAAATCGGAAAATCCCCAATTCGAAGCTTTCCACGGTTCCTCTCCGCACCGCCTCGTCCTCTTTGACCTAGTCCTCCTGCTTCTCGGTCTTGATCTTCCTTACTTCCTTTCCCATCGATTTCTGACCGGCTTCCCTTCAAGGCGTTCCGTTCCGTCTGAAGAACAACTACCCCACAGTTACGAATTTACAGGATTCCGGCACTCGCCGATCGACGACAATGGAAAACCACAGAGTCGCGGATTGGACGGCGTTCCAGATCTTTGCGAGGCTTCTCGATGGGAAGACAGCTACCCTGCGATTCGCAGCGCCGCAAGCCTACACTCACGAAATCAAGCGCCGAATCTTCGAGATCACCAGAATCCCTGTTGGATACCAGAGGCTTGTCAGCGGCGGCCGCCAGCTCGACGACGATTCCGTCGTCTCGACGCCGGAGTGCAGCGTTCACCTCTTGCTCGGCCTCCGTGGCGGGAAGGGAGGCTTCGGCTCGCTTCTTCGTGGCGCCGCCACCAAGGCCGGGCAGAAGAAGACGAACAATTTCGACGCCTGCCGGGATATGAGCGGTAGAAGGCTGCGGCATGTGAATGCTGAAAAGAGGTTGGAGGAGTGGAAAGCGGGGGAGGCGGAGAGGAGGCTGGAGAAAGTTGCAGACGACTTTCTCAAGAAGAATGCGAAGAAGAATGCGAAGAAGGGGAGCGGGGATGGAGAAGCCGCGAAGTACGTGGCTAAATACAGGGAGGATTCTGCTAAGTGTGTGGCAGAGGTTGAGGATGCCGTGAGAGAGGCTTTTAGTAATGGGAGTGGGAAACGAAAGGGGAAGTTCCCCATTAAGGACGCCAAGAAGTTGAAGAATTGGTAAGTGCGCTTTAGGGTTTCTAAAGCTGTTGTTGGATGTCCTTTCTGATTTTTGGTACTCTTTTTTTGCTGAAGAACTTGGCGATGAACTGGGAATTGGCGGATACCATTCTGTTCTCGCGGGAGAACGTTAGGGCTTGGTTTTTTGTTTTCCCCCTTTTCATGACGTTACTGATATTGGTCATTCTGAATGTTTACCAGTTGTATTCTAAATTGATTATAGTTCTGGTTATCACCAATGCTGCTGTTGAAAAGTTTGGGTTTTAAGGATTGATGTGTGTTTTCTTATTTATTAGGTTGGGGAAGAAGATGTTGGGTGTAAGTGATTCTGAAGACTCAGAAGATGATAGTGATGATGACAATGAGGGCGAGGGAACTGAGAAATCTGTTATACTGAATGGCGGGAGTAATTCAGATCCAAATTCAGACTCGGTTTCTGATTGGAAGCAAAACGTAGAATGTTCTACTTCTGCTTCTGGTGAGAGTGGTAGGGAGGAAGAGAAAGAGGTTGCCGAGGGGCACAACAGTAAGTCAAGTTCTCAAAGAGATGCTATCAATGACATGGAGACGGTAGCTGAACCTGACACTTGCTCCGAGGTAGCAGCACATAGTCCCACGGTCAATGGCTTGGAGGTTGCTAAAGCTTCTGGACCTGATGAAATGACAATGGAACGTCGAGAGATCCCCTGTTCCGAGAATGTGGAAGTTACAGCAGACAACCTAGTTATTGGTGTGACAAATGGCCCTGGAGACTTAAAAGCAGATAAGGAGGAAGAAATTGTAGTTGCAGAGACGAGTAATGCTGATTTGGAGAAGCAGCTAAATCTTGAAGATTTCACTTCACCTACTGATTTGGAGGTATATTCTTGTTTGTAGTCGCCTTGTCACAGCTTACGAAGTTGTGCTTAGTCCTGAGTTGCTTTTTCAAATGCTTGGCCTTCAGATGATTCACTTGTTAAGTTAAGTAATCATAAGCTCTTTTAAGGATTTTGCTTGTCTTCATGTACATCTGCAGTCATTTGTGGATATGATGGATACTAGAGAATCATTTCATGTATAGAATTGCCAAAGGGCGAACACATTCGCGAACCTAATGACATGTTTGATTAGAATTCTTGTTGGTTCCTTGTTCTTTGTTTACTGATATTATTTTTTTTTTGTGTTCGGACCATGTACAGGTTCTGGGATTGGAGAAGCTGAAGACGGAACTGCAAGCCCGTGGTCTGAAATGCGGAGGCACTCTCCAAGAGCGAGCGGCGAGGCTTTTCCTCCTCAAGTCGACCCCTCTAGATAAACTACCTAAGAAGCTGCTCGCCAAGAAATGAACCCTCTTTGATTTTACTGCCTCCATGAACAAAGGAAAGGTACAATCCTTCCTTCAAAATGTATTGTAAAGTGACGTTTTTTGTTGTTGGAAGTTACTGTCCTCTTGATCAGAAGGGTGAGATAAACAATATGTGTACTCTGATGGTGTTCTCTTATAATGACTTAGCCAGACCAGATGTGGATTGGATCACTTACTATTGTTGCTGTGGCTAACGGTGAGAACTGAGAGGTGAGATGGGGATGGTGATTCCGTGTCGAGTCTTTCTGTCGTAGAAATGACGATTGTGCACAAGCAATTACGACTGGATGGCACTTTGGACCAAAGGGTGGGAATCTAGTATTGGTTCTTTGGTTAGACCGAAATCAAAATTAATCGGCAAAAAAAAAAAAAAAAAAGACGAAGCGACATTAGTATTGGTTCTTGTATATGTACACATGGAATACCAACATTCAAGATGATGAATTTCAAGAAGGAAGTCTTGAATTACAACATGCAAGATGTTGTATTCCAGTAATAATGTATGGAATTCTCGGAAGAACGTCTTGACAAAATGGTTAATAACGCTAATTGATTGATTATGTTTTCATTACAGGTAGGTGTTACTTAGATGTGGATCAAACCATTTGTATTGTTACTATAACAAATTTTAAAAAGAGGAAGAAGTGAGACGAGGATGATCGTTCAATCCTAAACAGATAGCTACCACTGAGTAATAAGTAGACATGACACAATTTGCAATAGGTGGGATATAAAAAGGTGACTCGAGAAGAGAGCCGAATCTCATAACCCTTGAGGCCTTGACGTAGTTTTCCAAATACTAGTTTTAATATTTTTTTGAAGTTTTGTTTCCCAAACACAATAATTTGTTTTCTTTTGTTTTGTCTTTAATTGTCACACTCACAAAAAAGAAATGGTTTCTAAATAAATTCAGCTTTTAGCTTGCATTTCAGACAATTTTTTATGATTTCATAAATGAATATAATGAAAAGCTTGAAAAATTAAAATTTCAAAACCTTTTATAGGATGCAATTTACCTTTCATGAACCGAACCGTACAGGCACCGGTGCTGGTCCAACCAGAAGTCCGGACTGAATTCCGGTCGGTTACTAGGCCCGTGACCTCAGTTTCCGGCCGAAAAAAGGGTATAAATTGTCGTTCAAGTTTCGATTCGCTCATTCACAGAGTTGAGAGAGATTACCCGTCTCTCATCACCTGCCTCCTCCTCGCGCCGCGCGTTCCCCTCGTGGCTGTGCTTCCTGTACGAAGCTCCGCTGCAAGTTCTGCTTCCGTTGGCGCTCTCGGTCGTTTCCTTCTTATAGTGAAACTGCAAAAGCTGACTTGAACCCTTTGTCTGAGAAGCCAGGAGTCACAGCGGAAGGTACATCAAATCCCTGAACTCCGAGCCAAGAAATTTATATAGTTTTCTCTTGTTTTCCTGTTGCTGCGTGTTTGTCTTGTTAGTACAGATGAACTCTAGGTTTCGCTTTCCTTCACCCTAAGTTCTAAACAATAAATGGCGTTCGACTGTTTAGAGTCTAGGGTTTAGTTCTCGGTAGTGGAAAATAGGTGACTTGAAGTTGGAGATGCGGTTTTTCAGAGTTGTTCTGTAGGGTTATGTCGAGAATAGGTGCTTTTGATGGTGGGGTGTTTGTTTGGATGGCTCATAGTTGCTTTGCAGAGGGGAATGGAGATACATATTGAAGATTTTTCACACTCTTAGAAGGCAAAAGATTAGTTACAGAATCACACAGCTGGCATTAGGCGAGAGTTGCTTATTAAGTGAAAAGACGACATCTTGAATATGAACGGTAGGTTATAGAGTCGAGGCTTTGTGGTGGAAAGGAGTTAATGCATGGCTTCGGTCGCAGTGAAGGTGATTGAGTTAAAATGCTTTAATACTGTCTGTTTTAAGTGTTCTCTGAACATGGAACCTTCAGGTCCTTGGTATCCCATCTCGCGTTTGTTATGACCACCATTCCAAAATCCGATGCTCTAAGAATATACTAGTTACATTCTGATCTTTACACACACACACACACAAGACACAACTGTGTCTTCTTTGCAACTAAGAGCTAGCCTCTGCATATTAATTGTTTTGCACTTCAGTTTGCTGCCTTTTCCTTCATAATTCTGATCTTGGTGAATCATGTGCTTGCCATAAATCGGGCTATATTTTGCAGGGATGACGTCGAATATAATACTCTTCGAGGACATTTTTGTTGTTGACGAGATCAACCCAGATGGTAAAAAATTTGATAAAGGTATTTTCCTTTCACTTCCGCTTGCAAATTTTATCACTTCACGCTTACCTCATCTTAGTACTCCCCATAGTATGATCTCATTATATGTAAATGGGGTTTAGCTTCCCTTGTCCTTGGTTCTAACTTAAAGAATGGAATGAATGTAGAGTAGCGTGTATACTGTCTAGATTGCTCGAGGGGAATGTGGTTTTATGGACAATGGTCCCGCTTAATGTATGACTTGCTTATTGGAGCTTCACTATGAATTTATGGGGGAAATCGTTCTCTTTTTGTACACTTTGGATTGGGTCGAGGGAACTCACAATGCACTTCTTTCTAGTGAAAACCACATTATGCTTGCACCCTATTTAGCTTGGTAGTTTTTTTTAATATTCTTTTTCTTTTGTAGCTTGTCGGATCGTAGCACGTAGCCAAAACTGTGACATGTCCATGCAACTCGATATCAACAACGAAATATATCCCATGAATGTGAATGACAAATTTACGATGGCATTGGCATCTACGCTGAATTACGATGGGACACCTGACACTGGCTATTACAATGCAGTAAGCTTTTCTCTCTACCTTGTACTGGAGATACATAAGAGAAATCTGAATGTTAAGTATATGTTTGTCTATGAGGCTACATTTCATGAACAATGATTTTCTGTTGCTTAGACTCCAGTTTGTCTGTGGTGATTATCTTCTCTGTCAGGTTTAGGTTCAAGCATTTGGTGCGACGTGATATGTTTTTCTCCTATGCATGTCAATTGTCATTTAGCTTCCAGTTGGATTTCAACTTTGTTGGTGCGTCAAACTTCAAGTAAAGGTCATGTAGATTTTTTCACTAGGTGCAAGTCTCGGTTGTTTCACCTCTTGACCCTGCCAAAGTTGTTAGGAATGAATCATCTGAAGTTTACATGCCAGTCTTAACAGTATCCTAACCTTAGGAGGTTAAAATTGCTGAATTAGTTCAAACATGTGAAAGCATAAAAAAGAAGAAGAATACATTAAATTTTTTTTGCTGGAATTTATCTGTACTTGCTGCAATTTTTTCTTTTTGATTTTCCAGTTCATTTGCCATGTCATGATGCTCGTTGTCTCTCATTTGTGACATTGTATATTTTCCCAGGCAAAAAGGAAAAACCTTGCGGACAAATATGAATATGTCATGCACGGGAAGCTATACAAGCTATCGGAGGAAGGTTCAGGAAGATCGATTACAGCGTATGCATATATTTGAGAACTTTCATATTCTACTATTGTCTTCCCTTTTAGAACTTACAGGGATTGTGATTCTTCGCGTTGGGTTGCAGGGAATTATATGCTTCCTTTGGCGGGCTTCTGATGTGTCTCAAAGGGGATCCTTCTCATGTAGCTCACTTCGAACTTGACCAGAGAGTGTTCCTTCTGATAAGGAAGATCAACAAGTGAAAGCAGTATCCATATGATGAAGATCAACAAGTGAAAGCAGTATCCATATGATGAAGCGACTTGCTATCAGATGAACCTGCATTTGTCTGATAACGTTGTGGCAAGGCTTTATGTTGTTCAAGGTGACAACTCCCTTGATCTTGTACTTACTTTTGACTTGAGAAATAGTGTTCTAAATCCTTCGTCTGTTTGGTCATGTCAAGCAAACGATTATTATGTTACTTGAGAGATCGGCTATGGGTATTGAAGTAGAGTAGGCTACTCTGAAGTTTGAGGTGTTTATCTTTATAACTCGATTTTCCCCTGTGAACATTGAACCGAATTGATCATCCTATCTTTTCATAATCCCACCTTTCGAAATCGAAGTACTTTGTTTTGGCCGTTTCTGGGAGATCTTTGTTGTTATGTCTGCGGTTAAATTGTATGGCGGCGACGTGTTCATCAACAGCTATTCTTTGGTTGTTCTCTGAGCTTGGAATCATTCCCCTGTTTCGAAAGGAGGGGGAAAAAACAGAGGTTGGGAGAAATGGAGGAAGTCAGCATCCTAAACTGGCTGGGGAAGGTCTCTCCTCCGAAGAATGATTACCGTACAGCAAGCAGTGCATTAAAGGATTAATATTCTGCGGCTTGTCGATGAAGCAGGTGATGCCTGTTCCTTGTTTTTGTTCACAGCTTCTCGTTGGACTTATATGTCCATTCTTGTCCGTACTCTCCTCTGGAACCTTAAACAGAGGACGATGATCGATCGAACTTTGTTCACTTCTCCCTTCCATGTTAAATACCCAGCTAACTAGCTTTTTCATTCCTCCACCCAAAGTCCCAACACACTCTCTCTCTCAAAATCTGAATTGGGTTTTCTGAAAAATGGTGGCTTTCTTCTCATTGGAGCTGATAACTGGGGCTGCTTCGAACTCGGTGATGGTCTTCTTCTTCTGCAATTTGATCATCGTCACCATCCTCGTTGCCTCCTCGATACCTCCTCCTTCGACAACATGCGAAATTCACCATGTGTCAACGGTGGGAACCCCTTACCTCTACCCCTACGTGACTATTCACCAGCAAGAGGAGACTCTGGTTATTGGTGGTGAGAATGATGCTCTGCATCTCAATGATGAAAACAGAGCATCTTGGTCGTTGTCGTGCTCGGAACCGAAGTTGGCCGCATTGGCAACAACTCCCCACCAAGATGAAGAAGAAGAAGAGGAGAAAGAAGATGAAGAAGAGGAGAAAGAAGCTGATTGCTGCGGTGGAGAAAATGGTAAAGAGGACTACAATGACAATGATGAATATGATGAGGAGGAGGAGGAGGATGAACTGAGAAGGAGAGTTGAAGAGTTCATAGAGAAGACAAACAAAGCATGGAGGGCGGAATTGCTGAGAACATCAAAATCGCCGCGGCTGATGATTGCTGGTTGATTGCTCCCAACTCACAATATATGAAATGGTGATCGATGGGTGGAATTCAGGAACAGAGTTTTTTTTTATTGTTCCCAAGGAATTAGGAAATTCAGGAAGCCATGTCCAGAAATTTTGATGGCTGGCTCCTTTTTTTTTTTAAATCTTTCTCTCTTTCTGCGCTGAAAATGAAATGTATTCTTTTGTTCTTTATCCAAAATTTATTATGCAATTATTTAAACAATAATCTCTAAGTTCTTGATGATCAAGCTCTGTCTGCAATGCATACATCTTTTCTGCTCTGAAAAATGAAATATATAGTCTTTATTCTTTCTCGAAATGTATTACACGGTTATTTAAACCAGAATCTCTATATTCAAAGTCCGATTTCGCGACGAAACTTGTGTTGGTCGTCTTGATGATCAAGCTCCTGTCTGCAATGTATACATCTTTCATCCATCCAGTTCACCTGCGCAGCATGTCTCTAATTGATTGCAGTTTTGCAGCCGCAGCGGCCATGTTCATTCGTTGCCCGGGCGACTCAGAGGAGCAAGCAACTCCAACTTCAAGTATTGAAACCAAACAACCATGCACCCTCTCCATCTGCAAAACACCTATCCTTTTCTTCCTCGTAACTTTGCCCTTTCCTATTCCACCATCATCATATGGTACAACCTCTTCAGAGAGAAGAACCGGGTCTAGTATGGATCCAAGGTTTCCAGGCGAAGCAGCCTTAGCTAAGCTATGGAGATTCAGACCTTCTCTGAACATTTCATCCGTTGGTCGCCTTCTCGTAAACATTTCGAGGACCAGAATCCCATAACTGTACACGTCTCCTCGCGCTGACACATTCGAGCCCATCCCATATTCTGCAGTTCATATACATCTTGTTAAGAGAGTGCGAGGCTTGAATTTACCGTCGAATCAACGTACAAAGGGCTCGAATTTACCTGGAGCAGCATAGCCGATAGTCCCCTTTACACCACTTGTAGTTGCAGTGCTATGAGAAAATGGCTCACCGTTAGAGAGAAATCTTGCCTGACCAAAGTCACTAACATGACCGACCATGTGACGGTCAAGCAGAACGTTACTAGGCTTCAAATCACAATGAATGATCGGCGTCTCGCAGAGATTGTGCAGATAGTGCATTGCTGATGCCACATCTATTGCAATGTTCAATCTTTGAATCAGGCTCAGATTGTTGGTAGCTTGGTTCACTATATCAGATGTTATTGAAGTAGTCCCATAGAGCCAATCCTCCAAGCTTCCGCTCTCCATGTACTCAAACACCAATGCCTTGAATTCCTTACCCTTGTGGTCCAAGCTAGAGCAAAAGGAGACCACCTTTACGAGATTCCGGTGACGAATACTCCTCAATGCGTTGCATTCCGCAGCTAAGCTCTTGTCAGCTTGATCGTGCTTCAGATCGAGTACCTTAACGGCTACTGGGTTCTCCATATGCTCCAGTTTCCCCTTGTAGACGGTGCCAAACCCACCAGAACCGATTAAGTTGGCGGAGGAGAAGCCATCTGTTGCTTTATGGAGGTCTCCATAAGAGACCCTCATGAATTGGTCTGGAATCGCATCTTCGATGGATCGCTTCTTCCTCGATGTTTTATACTTGTGGATCAAGACGAATGCTAAGCAAGTGAGAAGAATGAATGCAGACACAGGCAAAGCAATTTCGACTCTCAATTTAACTCGCCCAGAAGCAGAAGCAGCAGCAGCTGTTTTAGCAGTTGAGCACTTTGGTAACTGAAGTTGAATGACACCACCGCATAGCTGAGGATTACCCATCAACGAAATGGCGCTGGCGTTCGAGAATATCCCTCCACTTGGCACTTCACCTTCCAGATCGTTGAACGAAAGATTCAGATATTGGAAAAACTTGACATTCTGCAGCTCTGCTGGGATATTTCCTGTCAACTTGTTGTGGGAAAGATCCAGTTCTTGGAGAGTTTTCATGGATGCCAATGGTGCAGGAATAGTTCCTTCAAAGGAATTTCCCTGCATAAAAAGATGCTCCAAGCTACTGCATTCCCCAATCGAGCTAGGAATTTCGCCTGTCAGGTTATTGTAGGACACATCAAGCGCATTCAGATTAACCAACTTCCCTACTTCCTTAGGCAGCTTGCCACTGAACAAATTGACTGACAGGTTCAGCAATGTGGTTAACGAGGACAAGCTCATCACCTCTGGAGGTATCTCTCCACTGAGTCCATTCTCAGCAACATGAATGAAGGCCAAGCTCTGACAATTCCCTAGACTTGCAGGAAGGGTCCCTTCAAGCCTGTTGGTGGACAAGTCGAGCTCGACCAATCTACTGAGGTTCCCCAACGAGTCCGGTATTTCGCCCGAGAAGTCATTCCCATGTAAGATGAGTCCTTGAACATTCTGCATCTTACCAAAATATGAAGGAATGGTGCCACTCAGCATGTTCAAGGACAGATCCACATAGGCCAAACCCATCAGATTCTGCAGCGAGTCAGGGAGAGCACTGATTTGGTTGACTCCAACCAACAACTCACTGAACTGGGTTGATGACAAATTCCCCACATAGTCCGGCAATGATCCCCCAAAGTTGTTCCTCGATATCCCCACACGTCGAAGCTGGCTGCAGTTCACCAACGAAGCCACGAAATCGAAGTCACCAGTCGAATTGTGACCGAGACTGTTGTTGCCCACATCCAACCACAGTAGACCCCCAAAATTCCCCAGGCAGTTCGGAATCCTGCCAACAAAATTGTTGCTATTCATGTTCATGTCCACAAGCTTCGAAGCGTTGCAGAACGATTCTGGGATCGTCCCCACGAGATTGTTCCCCGAGATTTCGAAGTAGTTAATGTTGGTCAATGTGTGGCCTAGATTCTCAGGCAAGCTGCCTTCCAGGTTGTTGTAAGTAAACACCATGTTTTGCAGGGATGAGAGGTTGTAAATGGAGGGAGGAATTTTACCAGAGAGTTGGTTTATCCCCATGGTAAGCGACCTCAGCTTGGAAAGCTGCCCAAAGCTGTCAGGAACCCGTCCCGCCAAATTGTTGAACGCAGCACCCAAATTGGCGAGCTGCGAGAGATTTCCCAGGGAAGGTGGCAGCTTTCCCGTCAGATTGTTGGTCCCAACTCTTAGATACTCGAGCTTTGCTAAAGAGCCCAGCTCGTCAGGTATCGTTCCTATAAGCCTGTTTATCTGCAGCGACAGGATCTTGAGCTTCGAGCAGCGGCTCAAATTGACAGGAATCGCGCCATCGAATGTGTTTTCTGAGAGGTTTAGCTGCTGGAGCCTGACCAAGTTGCCTATCTGTGATGGGATTTGGCCATAGAAGCGGTTGTTGGCGAGGCTGATGGAAGTAAGAAAGCTTAAGTTGCCGATGTGTGGAGGCAGAGTACCTGCCAGATTAAGATCTGGCAGGAAAAGGGATGTGACTCTGCTGTTACTTCCCCTGCCGCAGAGGACGCCAGGCCAGCTGCAGAAATGGAGGGAATCGTTCCATGAGTTGAAAACGCCATCTGGGTCATGGCTGATTCCTTTCTTGATCTCCAGCAGCGCGACCCGATCGGTGTCGTTGTTGGCTGAAGCTTCATGAGCTTGCCAGGTGAAACAGCTGAGTAATAAGAGGACGATGAACTTGGTTAGAGCTTGAGATGCAAACGCCATGGACGAAAGGACAACGACGAAGCTAGCTTGACAGTGAACAGAGTATTGAAAGAGGTAATTTTTCCCCAGCGGGGGCAATTTGATGCATGGATTCGTTGAATTCCTGTACCAAGTTTTTATGTGAAGTCTGAATTGACCGGAGTTGGAAGGGCAGGTTTTTATATTGCAAGTCTAACATAGGATGATCTCACAATATGGCGTCGTGATAAGACGTGCTGCAAATAAGTAATGGCATCTCATTTTATGTCGTTTAGGTATGGAAAAGTTGTCTTGGTACAACTTGTAAATGACACAACTTGTAAAGATTGTTCTATTTTTATTAGAATATATGATTTCGTATTAATCACGCACCAGGAGTGATTGATCAGATTTGGTAATTGATTGATGGTACTGAAATATATATTGACGAGATAGGGATAAGAACTATTGTCTTTGGGTTCGTGCACGGGAACCTTGAACCTTAATAAACGAAGCCAGTGGAAGAGCTAGGTTGATATACTAGTCGTAACAAATTTAGTAACAGATTTAGGATATATACTAGTCGCCTAGTCGGTAAGGCCTTAGCCCCTTCTCTCTCAGTTACCACGATTGAAATCAGCCCCCTCATATCTATTCTTCGCTCCGCCACTGAACGAAACAAGGTTAATAAACAATTTCAAATCCATAGTATCCATCACCAAAAGTTCTAATAGATCATTCAAAACTATCTAAAATATGAAACCATAATTTTTATAAAATTTAAGTTACTAATTACTAATTAGGATGACAATTCGTAATAGGTGACCATGCAAAGGCGATAAGGAGACTGAGAAACGAAAAAGAGGAAGCGGAAATAAAATTAGCAATTCATGTTAGATGGTTTCAGTTTATGTTAAAGTATTTGTTTTCCTTAATATTTTTGTGGTTAAAACTAGGGATGACAATTTTGCCTATACCCATGGGTATTTTACTATCCAACCCAATTGGGTTGGGTATGAAATCCAAATATATGGATATGGGTAAAGTTTAATGGGTTTGTACCCATACCCATTTACTTTGGGTTGGATTTGGGTTTGTACCCATGCCCAAATACAAATTACAGTTTGGTACCTAAACTTAATAGATATGCATATTTAGTACCTAAATTTAACTTTTTTTGCATATAAGTCCTCAAAATATCGATGGAAAATTACGTTTTGGTACCTAAATTTTTTTGGTCTTACATTTTGGTACCTAAAATTTTCAAGTTTTACAAATAAGTCCAATTTTTGCATGTGTAGTTAAAACACTCTCAAGTAAATGGATATCCATATCCAACCCATACCCATTTAGATAATATCCATATCTAACCCAAACCCATACACACATCACCCAAACCCTACCCATAA